CAAAAAGTGCACCAAATGCAAAACTTGTGCGAAAAACACTTACATGTCAAATTTCGTACATTGCCAACAATCAACAGACACTTGCACTTACTCAACCCTCCCAGAGGTTTGGGATTTCGGCTGTGACGTAGTCTCATTCTACACCCAATTGCCAAATTACCATTGGCAGAATTACACGAACACTTACTGGTATCCGGCTAGAAGGAGCACCAAGTATGGTCCATATGAATTCGCTTTGTGGGGTCCTAGTTTTGGCACCGACGTCTTGGATAAGAAAATGAAAATTATTGAGAATGTTGAAGACGTTTTTGAAAAAGACTGCTTGATTGAATCCAATGGGGAAATATTTCCGGAATATTGCAACGCCAAGCATCAACGTAATTGTACTATAAGCAAAAGTGCTTTTTGTGCTTTGAATGATGTTAATTGTTCAAGTAATTTTAGCTGTTCTGTTAGTAGTTCGTATTGTAATAATCAATTAACACTTGATAACGTTTGTCCGAGAATTTATAAAGCCACAGATAATTGTCAGATTAAAGTATCAATGTCGCTTTCGTTCAAGAAATATGCTCATCTAACTATATTCTATCCGGAATGTTTATATAAAAATGGGGATAGTAGTTACATCTATTGCTTCACTGATGCTTCAGAACAATTAAAAAAACGCCTTAATATTACCATTATTGGTAATAACACCTCAAATAAAAATGGACCAAGTTTTATAGTCTATGATGTACCTCTTGAAGAGTATGTTGGACAATACTGGTGCGAAGCTAGAGGTTTAGGAGAAAATTCCTACAAATATCTATCAAATAAAGTTTTAGCTTTTAACCAACCACCAAAAGGCCACGAATATGCTGTAAGACTAAAAATCAATAATATTTGTAATGTTGCTGATTGCACTATAAGTGAAATAAATTTTTTAATTGACGATATAAAACGACCAATTGAAAATGACAATTTTGCTAAAGCCAGATTGATGCAGGTTAATGAATTTCATCCAGAATCGTTCGCTGATATAATCATTCATGTTTCAACTTTGTCTAAAAAAAATCACTACTGGCTTTTATATAAGATTTTATTTGGAAAATTGCCTGATTATGTCCTTGTTATTTATTTGCGAAGCAGTGAAAGTTGTTTATCGGAAACTTACCAAAACCTCACTTGGCCTGATGCAAAAAGATCCCAAACTGTTTTACCAGCAGAGTTTTGTCTACAATCAAACGGAGCTCTAGTAACTAGATCATGCGATGGTGATTTTTTGTTTGGTCTCTCTTGGGGTGCTGTTAAAGGTAATTGTTCCAAACAACAAGACCCCGGTGAAGATTCTTTATTATTACAATCCATGCTGAATCAAACAATGTGTGAGGAACTAATGCAAAACGTTAGCGACATTGTTCACAATGGCAATCTGGGTTTGGTTGATCTTTATGTAATTTCACAAATTCTAGAAAAGTCTTCTTGGCTAGATATTAATAGTTCTATGTTGGATGCTTCTTTGAATGTGCTCAATGGGCTTATTGGTAAAAATTTGAGCTTACTGACAAGTGCCCAAGAGAAACTCAATATAACTGATACATATTTGAGGGCTAGTGAAGATATTGCTTTGAGTTTGATTAGATATAAAGATGACTTTTTTACTTTAGCCAAGGATAGGGTAATTTTTCATTCTTTTAATCCAATAATTCAAAACGCTTCAGGCTTTGTTATGTATAAAAATTACTCTTTCGTCAATATACCTTTGATGGACAATTTTGATAATCTTAAAAACATTGACGATATTAAATTAGCCTCATGTCTTTCTCCAGAAGATGTTTCATTTATTATAGAAAATAACTTGACAAATGTTAGTATAGTTGCGTTAATTTACTTGAATGATAAGTTATTCCCTTCAAATGCTAGTTATGCTGCTGACTTGGTTATCAATTTAAATATCCTCAATTATGATAGTTATTTGCAAAATTCCATTCCTTTGTTAGTTAATGCAGGATCAAATGACGCCAAATTCAATTGTGGTTTTTGGGATTATGGTAATCCCTATGTACAGAAAAAAGGCAATTGGTCCTTGTTTGGTAGCAACTATGATGGTATGTATAAAAATTCCAGTAATCTTCAATTGTGTAGTTATACTCACCTGACACATTTGGCTTTATTGATAGTTGAAAATAATAATAGTACTTACCTTGATGGTACTAATGATTCTGTTTTGAGTGTAATAACAGCTATAGGGAGTTTTTTGAGTATTTTTGGTATCTTTGGCATTTTTCTTACATCTTGTTTTTTTAGAACTTGGAGAGATAAATCGGGAACTCAGATTCTTCTTCACTTATCTTCAGCTATATTATTTGAAATTATTTTTATGTATATGAATGGTATAAACTTGTTTGATTGTGCTCTGGGTGGGTTTATTTTACAATATGTAATAATAAGTAAATTTTGTTGGATGTTAGTTTATGCTTACTGTCAATATTTGAGGTTTGTGGCGGTTTTCAAGCCTCCGCCTACTCACTTGGTCTTAAAATCTGCTCTATTTGGTTGGGGTTTTGGGTTAATACCAGCCGTTACAGTTATTTTGCTTTCTGATGCACAAACTTACTATCAACAAAAGTTTTGCTATCCTCAAGGCAACCACCTTTATTTAGGATTGTATTTTCCTGTTGCTTTAGTTTTAGCAGTGAATTTTTATGTATTTTGTAAAATTTTATGTGAAATTACCAACACCAAAATAAGCAAAGTGCAACCGGTGAATGTGAAAAAGCAACACATAAAGTTAGCAATTTTGTTGTGTTCGGTTTTGGGGATTCCGTGGATATTCGGGCTTTTGTCTAATGTGATGCCTTACGATTGGATAAAGGTGATTTTTGTGTATATTTTTAGTGTAACATCGATTTTGCAAGGGTTTCTTATGTTTTTGTTTTATGTTATTTTGAATAAGGAAACTAGAGAAGCTTGGAAAAAAATGTGCGGAGAGAGGAAAAGTTATAAAATATTTCCTTCGAAAAAAACTCATTCGATTTCAAGTATTACATAAACACTAGTTCAAATTCCAGAAATTTACTCTAGAGTTTCTAGAACATAGAGTATGTATTAATTTTAAGCGTTATGCCACTAGTATTACATAAATCTCAAATAAATAATTATTTAAATTAAAAATTACTTATTTAAAACTTTGTACATCATATATAAATTCCAGTTAATTCGCAATTTTTGTGTGTGTATTGAAATGTTACCTAGAATGTATCTTATATTTATTCTTTGTGATATTTGTATGTAGATGTAAGATGTAATATATAGATTTTTTTTATAATTTGTAGTATTATTTAGATCTAATGAAAATCAAAACTTACGGTTTTGTATTGCCATTTTTACCTACCAGTCTGGCAAGTGAATAAGTTACATGGCCAGAAGATACCGAGTAATCATTCTTTCTGCTGACTTTAACTTGATATTGTAATAAAAAATTTTCAGCTTAGGCTTACATTTACAGGTAGTCAGTTGAAAGTATTCAATTTATAATTGTATCCTTTTTTTTAATCCAAATATTGTTAGCAAGTTGAAATAAAGTTTTTCAAAAAGTAATTCCCGTTCTCGGCTATCGACTTGTTAACTGGCGCAGTCGGTAGGATATTTTTCGTTACTGTTCGGTTCGGTTTGGTTTCAGCAAGAATTTGGACCTTTAACGCGAAAAATTAGGACTAGCTTTAAGTTTGTTTGCTGTGTGCATAGTGGCCAATAATTTTACATCAGCTATCATAGAGTTCATCGTGAACACTACTAAAACACCAGTACGGGAAATGGGACCAAATCGCCAATTTTCGCCAAGACAAAGATGTTTGCGTCTATGTTATATGTCACAATAAGTGGAGATTTGAACATCATCGTCGTGTCTCGCAAGATAAAGCCGTCTTTGGAAGGACCGGCATCGCTAACCAAGACTCTTGGCTTATAATGAAAATATTCATCATACTGAGCACGTAAGTAGTGCAATGGTTTGTATAGGGTGATTCAGTTTGAGGTAACAATTCAAATATACGAAAATCTCCAAGAGATCCGAGAAGACATGCCCTGTGTCATCAGGTTAATAAACTCTGATAAAAACACTTCTATATGCAAACAGTCAAATCAATGGATAATGATCGCTCCATCCAAATCAAATGTAACGACCAGGAAGAAACCAGAAGCATTCTTGGAACTTACCTATGCAGTATTCCCGAACGTTGCCAAGTCAAAATAAAATCGAAACTAATCTCCAACATTAAAAAATCAGTCAGAAGTAGCAGTCAACCTATACTGCTTCCCAGTATTCAAGAAACACCAACTCTGTTGCCTTTTTTGAATTTAAGTACCCATTTACCCGACTTGAAGCTGGATGAACTACACAAACTTCAGAACGAGATTTTAGAAGTTCAACTGGATCTTTTATTTGACCAAATTGAAACAAATCCCAGTGTATGGTTCTTAGTAATATATATCCTATTAACTCTTGGCTGTATAATTTTGGCATACAAGAAAATTGTTCCAAAAATTTAAGAAGAAAGTACCAACCCCTAGAAAAGAAGAGGGCACGGACATTCAACCACCCCGGCTAGGCCGATAGTTGAATCTGAGAAGGGAGGAGTTACATGGCCAGAAGTTACCGAGTAATCATTTTTTCTGCTGACTTTAACTTGATATTGTTATTAAAGCTTTTCAGCTTAAATTTACAGGTAGTCAGTTGAAAATATTCAATTTATAATTGTATTCTTATTTTTATCCAAATATTGTTAGAAAGTTGAAATAAAGTTTTTTAAAAAGTAATTCTCGGCTATCGACTTGTTAACTAATAGAATGAAAAGTCTAAGGTTAAATGGAGAACGAACAGGGGAAACCGTTTTCGTTCTCTAATTAACCCTAGACTTTTCCTACATGTTTCCTTTTTTTTTTCATTGAAATTGACCTGCAAGATGCTGACTTGCCATACCTGTATATCTGAATTTATTTGAATTGACTAAATTTTGTAGATTTCCCGATGTAAAACCAACTCCATCAGAAGAAGGTAATTTTTCCATGACAGCTGGCGATTTTCTAGAAGTTTACACTACCAAAGAGGAATGGGACTGTGTCGCTACATGCTTTTTCATAGACTGCGCCCCTAATGTTGTTCAATTTATCGAGACCATCTACGACATACTGAAACCAGGAGGTTTGTGGATCAATTTAGGGCCTTTATTGTACCATTACTCGGATGCCCCTAACGAAAAAAGCATTGAACCTACTTTCAAAGTAGTATGCGAAGTGATAAAAAAGATTGGATTCCAAATGGAAAAATGCCAAACCGGTGTTAAAACTAAATACTGTCAAAATCCTAATTCGATGCTTCAGTATGAATATAATAGTGTGTTTTTTGTTTGCAGAAAAACAACCAATATTAGTTCAAATGGAAATTTTAAATCGGAAGAAGAAATTTAATTTAGTAAAATTCATATTTGTCTTTCAAGTTTTCATTAGATTTGTTTAGTTTAATTTTAGCTGGTGAGAACACAATCCCGGTTTTTTAGATAGAAAGGGTCACTTACATCATATTTTTCAAGGTTTATTTCATTACTTATTACGTTTCCTCGTGTAAATAAATGAATTAAGTTTAAACCTTTATTTTTTTCAAATTTTCCTATTTATCTACTAGAGGCATTGGTAGAAATTATTCAAGAACGCTTTATGCTCCAGAACCCAGGCTTTTCAATCGACAAATAAAATTCTTTAATTTTAGGGATCATTTTATTTACTCAAAAGTATACATGCTCAAAATATAACCTCACTAAATTATGAACTCTAAAAAAAAAAAAAAAATCAATTCCAATAAGATAAAAAGTAATAAAAAGCCCATCATTTTAAACAAAGAACATGGGTAATTCCTTTTGGATACTTGTCTGAATTTGGAATCTCTTGAATTCCTCATTCAATCTTTGCATGTCCAAATGGTCTTCAGTTTCAATATAAACTTTGGCTCTTGCAGCAGCCAAGTGAGCATAGTAGGTCGGGGCAGGATAACTGACGGATCTGTTGCATCGTGTGAACATGTGACACAAATAGTAACTTAACTGCTCCACTTCGTCATTGTCCATGTCGTTGTCGTCCCACAAAGTACAGTATTTTGTCGGTTTCGCTACACCTTGAATACTGGCATGGGAAACCAAGTAGAAATCTTGTAAGAAGGGGTGGACTATTTCTGTATCTACGCATGTACCTGAAATAAAACAAATTATTGTTGAAAATTTGTAGTAGAACCTGATTCAAAATTTAGCTGGTACAAATATAAATAGCTTGGAATTTCCATCAGTAACACACAATATAGATTATTTCACTCATAGATCAACAAGAATGATGGGGAAGCAACCAATTGATATAGAAAAATTCTCACCTGCTGGTACGTTGAAGTTCCTGTCATCCGAATCTCTTTGATTCTTCGGGAACAATCGTGTATGATGCCTTTTCTGCACAACCAAAAACGTAATTTTCGGCTCGTAACCATCCGCTTGCAATTTTTTACACCCGGCTCTTATGGCGCGAATCTCATCTTGCTTAACTTTTTCGAATTGCCCTTCGGACACTCCGTCCCTGAAGAAAACAATTTTTTCGGGCTTGACTTTTGTTTTTTTATAGAAGAACATCAAATGCTCTATCACTATGGCTTCCAAATCGGCAATAATTTCAACTGTCGGATTTTGTAGCCTCCAACATATATTATATTGAAAAGCTTTCGGATCATGAGAGGCCGTAACGGCAGCGACGCTAGGAATGTTCCTGGCATCCGGTCCTGGATGCGTAACATCTGCTCCCATAATCATACAGGGACGGCACAGGGCTTTAGGCTTAACCTCTTTGGTAAAAGTGTGATTAACCCCATTCAATTTGCTATTGACTTTCAACATAATGTTGAGGACAGTTTGTGGGTTAATTTTTCTGGCCACTGTGTTGGATTTGATGCACTGGGTCAGACAACCTACTGCAATTTCGGCGGCTTTTTTTACAAACGAGTATTGAGGGCCGCTGTCTGGCACTACGACAAAAATAATGTCAAATTTGCCTTTTTGACTGCGAAAATATTGTTCGCATTCGGCACTGGACTGACGCCCTCCGATATTGCCGAAAGGGAAAACCGGTTCACCCAAAATCATTCCAACTTCTCTTGCAGTTTTTATAATCTGTAATAGAGAAAATATTTTAGTTAGTAAGTGAAGTAATTGTGAAATATGACTAAATGAGTAATTTGCAATTTTGTTATTTTTCACTTGATAACTTTAGTATGATGAGCTCTTAACTTTCCTCTTTTTCTGCTGAAAGTTTCATAATTTTCCCTTCAATAGTTTTCCAGGAAAAAATTTAAATGTGAGAGGGTGCATTTTTGCTTAATTTAAATTTTGCAAGTTGATTTTCCCTAATTTCCCATTTGGTTATTTTTCACAGAAAAAGTTTCAAATTTTAGTATATTGAGCTCCTAGCTTGTCTCTTTTTCTCCTGAAAGTTTCATAATTTTCCCTTCAGTAGTTTTCCAGAAAAAAAATAAAATGTAAGAGGGTGCATTTTTGTCTAATTGAGATTTTGCAAGTTGATTGACATTGATTTCCTATTTTGTTATTTCTCACTGGAAAAGTTTGAAATTTTAGTATGATGAGCTCCTAACTTGCCTCTGTTTCTCTTGAAAGTTTCATAATTGTCCCTTCATTAGTTTTCCAGGAAAAAATTAAAATGAGAGGATGCATTTTTGCTTGATTGTCATTGATTTCCTATGTTGGTATTTCTCACTGAAAGAGCTTGAAATTTTAATATGAAGAACTCTTAACTTTCCTGTTTTTCTCCGGAAAGTTTCATAATTTTCCCTTCAGTAGTTTCCCAAAAAAAAAAAAAAATGTAAGAGGGTGCATTTTTTGCTTATTTGTGATTTTGCTAGATGATTGTTATTGATTTCCTATTTTGTTGTTTCTCGCTGGAAACATTTGAAATTTTAGTATGATGAACTCTTAACTTTTCTCTTTTTCTCCTGAAAATTTCATAATTTTCCCTTCAGTAGTTTTCCAGAAAAAAATTAAAATGTAAGAGGGTGCATTTTTGCCTAATTTAGATTTTGCAAGTTGATTTTCCTCAATTTCCAATTTTGTTATTTCTTACTGGACAGATTTGAAATTTTAGTATGATGAGCTCCTAACTTGCCAGTTTTTCTCCTGAAAGTTTCATAATTTTCCCTTCAGTAGTTTTCCAGAAAAAAATGAAATGTAAGAGGAAGCTTTTGTGCTTAATTTAGATTTTGCAAGTTGATCATCATGCCCACGCGCAAGATTAATCTTGTGGGCTAAATCTGTATTTATTGTTTCTGCTATGGTATATGTACAGGGTGGTTATTTTATCTTGATAACATTTCAAACTGTCATAAATTTTTTATTTTTGGAGTTTTTTAAATAAATAAAAAAACATACTGTAGGGTTGTTCTCCAAGTTTTACATAGGGTGGACAAAAAACAAAAGACTAAAATATTTTGACAGTTATGCACACAAGTAGCATTTTTTCAAATGGAACACCCGGTAAATTTTTAGTTGGTTTGATAATATGTTTCATTCTGATTGCACTATATACAATACAATACAATTGAATACAATTTACTTCATATTTACATGCAGAAACGTTTTATTTATTCTAATGGGAAATTCTGTCTACCTACCTACCTTTGCAGGTAATCTGTGTAGGTAATCAATATTTTCAGTTAGAATAGATAAAACATTTCTGCATGTAAATATAAAGTGAATTGTATTCCAGTGTATCGTATTGTATACATTGCAATCAGAATAATAGTATATTACATACCGAGTAGGGAAATGTTTCATTACTGTCGAGAGATTTATATAGACAATCGAGACGCGAAGCGTCGAGATTGACTATTAATCTCGAGACAGTAATGAAAACTTTCCTCCGAGGTTTGTATACTATTTTATTTGCAAGCACACCATCAATTATGATTAGTCAATCAATTTTTTTAATATTAAAAAAATAAAACAAACATACCAAAATGTGTCATTCACTGCTTTGACGTTTTTACCTGACATGTTCTCATTGTTGCCAGCAAAGGTAAATAAATTAGAGTGAGGGAAATCGGTGAGGGAAGTCGAATAGGGAAATCGGTGAGGGAAATCGAAGAGGGAAGTGACACAGGTAAAGTGTCACTTCCAAATTTTTAAAAAGTCAGTAGGGACAAGATTACATATATGATTGCAAATAAAACATATTATCAAACAAACTAAAAATTTAGTGGGTGTTCCATTCAAGAAAATGCTATATGTGCGCATAACTGTCAAAATATATTAGTCTTTTGTTTTTTGTCCACCCTATCTAAAACTTGGAAAGCAACCCTACAGTATGTTTTTTTATTTATTTGAATAACTTTAAAAATAAAGAAATTATGACAGTTTAAAATGTTATCAAGATAAAATGACCACACTGTACATACATAAATTGTAAGGATATAACAATAAATGCTTTATAATAATAATAATAATAATAATAATGAATTTCCCATTTTGTTATTTCTTAATGGAAAAGTTTGAAATTTCAGTATGATGAGCTCCTAACTTGCCTCTGTTTCTCCTGGAAGTTTCATAATTTTCCCTTCAGTAGTTTTCCAGAAAAAAATTAAAATGTGAGAGAATGCATTTTTGCTTGATTGTCATTGATTTCCTATTTTGTTATTTCTCACTAGAAAAGCTTGAAATTATAGTATGAAGAACTCTTAACTTTCCTCTTTTTCTCCGGAAAGTTCCATAATTTTTCCTTCAGTAGTTTTCCAGAAAAAAATTAAAATGTAAGAGGGTGCATTTTTGCTTAATTGAGATTTTCCAAGTTGATTGACATTGATTTCCTATTTTGTTATTTCTCACTGGAAAAGTTTGAAATTTTAGTATGATGAACTCTTAACTTTCTTCTCTTTTTCCTGAAAATTCCATAATTTTCCCTTCTCTTCCTAAAACAGTTTAAATTTGCTCATTTCCATGCTCCAGAACAGTATTGGATAGCTAACAGCTCAAGGGAAAAGGAGTAAATAACTACTATAGAAGTTTAAAAATTCAAATATACGTAAATAAAAATTACCCCCAGAAGCAAGAATCCCGCAGAAATTTTCCATAATAATAAATAATGCATCCAATTTAATCTTTAGTTTAATTCCAAGTCAGTGCAAGGATAGAGAAACAAGAGGTTTTTATTTTTGAATTTCGTGTACAATCTTAATAGTCTGTCTCTACAAAATATTTTCACAAGTGCAACATTGCTTCACGATTGGCAACATTCGAATTTTAAACGAAATAACAGAATATTCGATTCTACTTCAAAATCTAGATACATGGCAGGGGGAATGCTGAATCACAAAATTAATAACCTTCATCTCAGCTCTATTTATCAAAAGACAGAAAGCAAACAGTGGCGTGAGAGAGAAATCTCAATCAGTTTACTCGAACAATGCAAAATAGACAACATTGTTAATCCCAACTTACCATACTGGCCAAATTTTTAAGATCGTCAACTCTAGGCGCATAACGACAGATTGTTGCAATGGTCCATGTGTTCACTGTCGCCGGTTGCAAGAATTGTTCGCTTCTCCAGACTCCTTTTTGAACGCGCACGTTTCTGTTCAAATACTGCAGCTGGGGCGGTTCCAAAACACGAGCGTCCAACTGCTGGAACTCGTTTCCAACGGAAAAACCAAACTCGCGCACATAAGGACTAGCGTTATGATTTGCCTGATTGATTCCGCGCATTATTTTCTGTTTGCGGACTGTTGTACTCGTAGCTGCTTGCCTAGGATAAAGCAAAAACATCCACCAACTGCATTATTTAAAAAAATAAGGAACTTACTTAATCATGTTACTGGTTTGATTTTCTGTCATCTTCCTATTAACCGCTTGTCCTTCCAAAATTTGACAGAACTCCATGGGTAACAAAATCTTCCTCTGCAAACTACCGACCCACAAAGTTGGTAAATCTGGATATCGCAAACGGCAATTTTTCTGTCTCAAAAAGTATTCTAAAACGGTCATTCGCTGACCATTGCTTTCGAACGTTGCGTGACTAGCCGGATCTCCCAAACCGTTGCATCTGTAGACTTTCTTAGAACCTGGATGTCCAGGTATTTCATAGCACACTCTCAGTTGTCTGACGTATTTTTCCAAAGTTTTTTTTTGATAATCTTGAAGACGCACCAAGGACTCTTTACTAACTTTTTGTCTAAAAGTAGAAAGAAGTTGGGCTAAAGCTTCTACACAGTTGACATTTTGTGGAAAAGCTTTATGCGCCACATCGATGTTCAACAACGGTTTCCATCCTCTAATTGCCGATTGGTAGAATCCATGGTACATTTCCATGCCTATAAAACATATTTTACATAGAAATAATAAGCTTATAAAATCAGTCACCTTCTCCTAAATCCAGAATTCCCTCAGTAGGTTTAACGAAAAACGACCTGCCTACTGGAAAACAAGTTTCTAGAGGTGCCATCCTGAGAACAATATCCACCACTTGCAGCGCCTCTTGCGGCGTAGCCGGCGAATTTAAAAAATCCTTCAACGGTCTCAGATCAACTTTGTTTGCAAATTTAATCACAACCTGGAACTTTTTTGGACGACCATCGTCTTCGTTAATAGTTATTTCGTGCTCGAATATGTCATTAAGATTATCAGTGAGCGGCGAGGAAGTGTATAAATTTTTTCTGCCGTCGAAAGCGGGCCATCTGGATGATAGAAAAAAAAATAGCTAATGAAGTTCATATCTCTGTATCTATCTATCTATCTATCTATCTATCATATTCAGTTGAAAAGTAACTTGTGAACTAGTAGATATAATATAGGTAGGAAAAGGTTATGAGAGACAAATGTCAGAACTTGTTAACTTTAAATAAATAACTTTAAATAAAGTATCTTCTATTCGTTTTCTTTCAACTTGTCAAGTTTTCACATCATTTTGTCTCTAGTTACCTTCCCCTACCTATAATATCTACTAGCACTATACTCAAAAGAAAAAAAAAAAGACCATTCGACTTTACACAAACACCCTTCTCACCTTTGAGGGAAATACTGTCTCCTAAAGGCATCCATGACCGGCCTCATCATTCTTCTTGGCAATTCCGGCTCGATGGTCACATCATAATGATAGGCAGTTTCCAATTTTCCAAGATTCAACTGTAAATGATTGGATTCCACCTTGATAATCCTTCCACGAGTTCCATGCTTCTTCCTTGAAGTTGACACGAGATTGGCATCGCCTGCATTACTCCTCAACTGTAGTTGTTGCATGGACGATGCTAAAGAAGTAATAGTTTTATTTAGATCAATCCATAAATTAGTCAGAGTAAATTTTATTATTGAAAACTCTTCTGCTGAAAGCTTGCAGCAAAATCCAAAGCATGCTTGAATAAAAGTATGTATTGTTAAAAATCAAACCTAGTGGCTGCTGTGGTTTTTCTGCACCTCGTTGGGGTGGGCCTCGGTGTTGTTGTTGTTGGCCTCGTTGTTGTGGACCTTGTTGATAAATGCAATTCTTATATTCATTTGTTATAATAGAACATTAATTGTTAATGCAGATCTAAAGAAGAACGGTATTTATGAACGCATTTCTTTCCCATGACAACTAACAACTAGCAAAACCACGGATCTCTACAGGTTATCGGCCCAGAGTCGTGTAAAGTCGGGAATTCAGGAGTGCGTTCAAAGACGTCAATGCTAATGCCAAAACCTACTTTTCCGCTTCTACCGGCAATGCCAAATCTGGTGTGAATTTGCTGGAACGCCAAATACCGTTTCTCAATAATTAGGCAATCCAAACCACGTGACATTCAAGATGGCGTGGCGTCCACACATGGACGAAAACACACAAAAAAATATCTAGTTTCTGCCCAACTCAATAGTTTACGTAAAGTCTGTTTTTTTTTTAAAGATAATTCCCCAAGTCAAAAATTTAGTAACTATGTTGGCAACACAAGCCTTTTCTACATAAAAAATTTGAAGCATTGACAATTTTACATTGTATTGCCAACATAATGTCAGTTTGACTTTTATCTTTAAAAAAAAACAGATTTTACCTACAAATATTTTATTGAATAATCAAAATCAAAGCTGCAAGCAAAACTCGAAGCAAAATAATTGAAATATGCATGAAAACACATAGTCGAAACTAACTTGCTGGCCGCCACGCCATATTGAATTTGGTCTCATCCAATCAAAATTCGTATAACTATTTCTAGACTCAGTTAAAAGCACCTCCAAAAGTTACTTTACCGCGGCCGATTCTGAACTAGTAAAGCCAACCGTTTTTGGCAAGCTGGAGCCGAACTTGAACGCAATATGCCAATTTTGGCTTGGCTTTAGCCGTTTTTGAACGCAGCCCAGGAAACACAGAAAAGATTTGAAGGAAAGTGAAGGTTAAAGTGGCAGTGGAAAATTTACGCGGCAATTCCACTCATGTATAAATAATCCCATTTAAACTGTCAAAAATTGTAGTTTGCTAGCGGATAAATAGGAAGGAAGAGAAAATATAACTGGATAAAAAAATCGGATAAATTTTCTGTTGATGCAATCGTTACCATAGTAAAAATTGCATATTAAATTGGTTTTTGAATCATATGTTAAATAATTGTCACAAAAATTCACAAATTCGATCAATTTAGCCCCAATTTTAGCTTATTAAAAGTGTTTTGTTATCTGAGATAAATAAATATTTTGTTTTGATTTTACATTCGTGGAATTGCCGTACTAAATACCATTCGAGCTCAGATTTTGAGCAGGATATTTTTTTGCTTGCTCTCTCATACTTACTTTCATGCAATTTATCTCGATCTGTTCAATAAAATCACTCGAGCTGCGCTCTCGTGATTTTGTCGGAACAGCTCTCGTTAAATTTCCTGAAAGTAAGTATTCGAGACCAAGCCAAAAAATATCCGGCTAAATCTGAGCTCTTATGGTATTACCTACGACAAAACGTGAAAATGTCAGGAAATACCATGACAGCGAGCATAAAAGCATTTGATGGTAGTGGATTTGGGAACTGGGAATTTGAAAAATGCTGATTTGATAATATTGAAGTCATTAGTCAATTGTTAGGTCACAAAAATGCCGACTGTTTTAAAAATAAAAAGGAAACCCGAAAGGTGAACATTGCCGAAGAAGAAAATGAGGTAAGCTTCATTGGTTGTTTTTCTGATGAAAAATTGAGGTTAAATCACAACCCTTTGAAATTTGTTGTCGACTCAGGCAAAGCAGGTTGATCACTCCATAAAAGTTGCAAAAGCTGGGGAATATGTGAAGGCAATTTATGAGGGCACATTGCACTTGATTTCAGAATATGGACGGAAAATTAAGTTAGAAAATGTGTTTTTGTGTCAGAATCTGACACACAATTTGTTGTCAGTCAAAAAGATGGAATCCAAAAGATTGAAAATAGTATTTCATAACGAAGAAGTCTCTGTATGCAGAAATGATGGAAATATTATTATAAAGGGAAACTTAGAGAGAAATTTGTATGTGTTAAACCTAAATGTAAACCAGAAATTTTCTGATGAAGCAAATTTGGTAAATATGAATGAAAAAGATTTATGGCACAAGAGAATGGGGCACTCCTCAAAATATCCATCAAGTGAAGTTTTGTGATATTTGTTTGGAAGGTAAGCAAACAAGGAGGCCTTTCAAGAAGTTACCAGATGATAGAAAGGCCAAACATATTTTGCAATACGTCTCAAGTGATGTTTGTGGTCCACTCAATCCAAGTTCACATAATGGTAAGAAATATTTCATTTCTTTCATTGATCACTATTCACATTTTGGTATATTTCATGAAAAACAAGAGTGAAACATTTCAGAAATTTAAGGAATACGTCGCCATGGTACAAAATTAATGCTTCCAGAAAGGTTAAGGTGCGATAACGGTGGAGAGTACATTTCCCATGAAATGAGAAACTTTTGCAAACAAAAGGGAATAAGAATTGAATACACCATACCAAGAACACCTGAACAAAATCGGGTTGCGGAAAGATACAATCGTACCATTTTGGATAAAGCTAGGTGTTTGATTTTCCAGGCAAACATGGAGAAAGTTTTATGGGAAGAATCTGTATCTACAGCAGCTTTTCTAACCAATAGAACGCCTACTTCAACTTTACCTGAGAAAAAGGTACCAGCAGACATTTGGTTGGGACAAAACCAGACTTGTCCAAAATCAAAATATTTGGTTGTATGTCATAATATGTGCATATTCCTGCTGAAAATCGGAAAAATAAATTTGACAAGAGAAGTCAGAAGATGTACCTTATTGGGTATACGAACAATGGGTATCGTCTTTGGAATGCAGCAGAGGAAAAGACAGTAGTTGCCAGGAATATTGTTTTGGATGAGACAAAAATGTGTGGAGTTTCTAAGGAAAAAAAGAAAATTACAATTGGGAATCTGACGACAAAGTAGATGAGAATGTACAGATTGAAAATAAGAAGACCAAGAAGAAGCAGACAAATACTTTACGATTAACTGATTATGATGATGAAGGCATGATGGCAGCATTGTTTTTAGAAAACTTCGATTCTCCACAGAACTTCAATGAAGCTATAGGCGATTTCGCCCCAGATTTTCATCTGGTAGGCGAATGGTTAACCAATTGGTACGTAAGTGACGTAGCTCAACAATCTCATCTAAATTCAGTGGATAGGGCGTTTGGTACATTTTGACTTCGACATGTTATTTGGACATGAGAGAAAAAAAAACAGAAAGCTACCAAACCTCCACTACCCAGTCAAACCACGGTATAGCAACTGACAGACCAAAGGGCCTACCAAAGTTGTTGTGACAGCATCATTCACCCATCCGAAATTGAATGGTACCTGTTTGACAGACCAAACTGGGGTACCAAACTGAGGCGAAATCGCCTTATGTCAAAAGGATGAAAAGAAGCTATGTGAGTTAAATGCAATAGACAAAAACGAAACTTGGGAACTGATAAAAAGACCTATGAATGTGAAAGTGAGACTCTAGATGAGTATTTAAACAAAAAATCTCGAGTGATGGAAATGTAATCAAAAAGACTCGATTAGTAGCTAGAGGCTATCAACAAAGACAGCGTAATGATTTCGTCTACTCACCTATGGCGAGAATGATGTCTATTCGTGTACTTTTATCCCTGAGTGTATAAAATGACTTGTGTATCAATCAGTTAGACTTTAAATGTGCATTTCTGAATGGGGATTTACCAAAACTAGTGTATATGGAAATACCTGAAGGTTTAAAGACAAACCATTTAGCCAGTGAGTATGTATGTAAACTTAAAAAGTCATTATATGGACTGAGGGAAGCTCCTAAATGTTGGTATCAAAAACTTCACATGCAGTTAAATGATTTCAACTTTAAAAGATCTAAATGTGATCCTTGTTTGTATTATGACAATAATATTTATCTGATTTTTCACATAGATGATTTAATTTTATTCTGCAAATGTCAGAAAAAGTTAGACAATTTTAAAAAGAAAATGATGTCTATTTTTGAAATGCGTGATCTATCACCTAAATATCAGGACAATTTTAGCTTAACGTTTTTAGGTTTGAAAATTTAGAAATTCGATAATATGTTGTTTTTGAGTCAAAAAGATTTGACTCAAAAAGTTTTATCAAAATTCAATACGCAAAATTGTAAACCAACCAATTCCAATGCACGTAAAATTGAATTTGAGTTTTGATAAACACGAAAATAAAAGTGAAAGTTTACCATATAGAGAAATAATAGGCTTCTTGATGTACATAATGCTAGGTACAAGACCTGACCTAAGTTATTCTATTTATTTTTTTAGTCGTTTCCAAAATTGTTTCAGTAGTGAGCACTGGAAATATTTGAAAAATGTTTTGAGATACTTGAAAAATACTGAGAATTTGGGTATTTTATATAAAAAGTCAGGACAATCAAATCAAATCATAAGTGCTTATGTAGATTCCGATTATGCAAATGAATCATGTGACAGAAAAAGCATTACAGGATATGGAATTAAGATTTTTGAATAATTTTGTTTTTTGGAAGTCCAAAAAGTAAATAACTGTTTCTTTAAGTAGCGATGAAGCAGAGTATATCGCATTATCTAATTGCGTTGGCGAGTGTATTTTTGTTGGTCAACTTTTATCTGAATTGCTTAACCTTGATGCTTTTCCTGTGAATATTTTTGAGGATAATCAAGCCTATATGAAAATGTCAAACACATTAGAAACTAAACGTACAAAACACATAGATATTGAACACCATTTTGTACGAGAATGTGTCAGTGAAAACAGGATTAAATTGTTTTATGTATCCACTTCTGAGCAGATTGCAGATGATTTCACAAAGTCTCCAAGTACACCTAAATTTAAATACTTTCAAAAGGACCCTGCCCAAAGTATACAGAAATTGTGTTTATGTCAGAATTGGCTGAATTTTGTATATAATGTAGATCACGCCTTTCTGATTTAAAGTTACCATTGCACCAATCCTGAAAAACTACTCCTTTTTGAGAAAATCAATTTTATAGGTAGCAAGTAAAGCGCTTGGACATTGTAATGGACATTCAATGTTACACGAATAGGTGTAGAATAGGTAAGCTTGTGGCGCAATGGTGTGCTACGTGGAGTCATTTTTCAGGATTAGTGTAATGGTAATTTTTAATAAGAAAGGCATGATCTACATTATATACAAAATTCAGCCAATTCTGACATAAACACAATTTCCGTATATTTTGGGCAGGGTCCTTTACTGAATGTTTATGAGAAAAATTGAAATTATTATTTTGTTCAATAATTGTGCATTAACAAGTATTTTTTTTAGGAACTGCTCAGTTATATGTATTAGTTTTTGTTAGTGTATTATAAGAATTGGGGAAGTGTGTTGATAAATGCAATTATTATATTCATTTGTTATAATAGAACATTAATTGTTAATGCAGATCTAAAGAAGAACGGTATCTATGAACGCATTTCTTTCCCATGACAACTAACAACTAGTTTATATTTTTTGTCGTGTATGTGTCAAGTTGTCACGATATTAATTTTGTCGTAGGTAATACCATAAGAGCTCAGATTTAGCCGGATATTTTTTGGCTTGGTCTCGAATACTTACTTTCAGGAAATTTAACGAGAGCTGTTCCGACAAAATCACGAGAGCGCAGCTCGAGTGATTTTATTGAACAGATCGAGATAAATTGCATGAAAGTAAGTATGAGAGAGCAAGCAAAAAAATATCCTGCTCAAAATCTGAGCTCGAATGGTATTTAGTACGGCAATTCCACGAATGTAAAATCAAAACAAAATATTTATTTATCTCAGATAACAAAACACTTTTAATAAGCTAAAATCGGGGCTAAATTGATTGAATTTGTGAATTTTTGTGACAATTATTTGACAGATGATTCAAAAACCAATTTAATATGGAATTTTTACTATGGTAACGATTGCATCAACAGAAAATTTATCCGATTTTTTTATCCAGTTATATTTTCTCTTCCTTCCTATTTATCCGCTAGCAAACTACAATTTTTGACAGTTTAAATGGGATTATTTATACATGAGTGGAATTGTCAGCGATATATTTCTAATAGACCTAGCTATTTTACCAAACAAAGAGGTAATGATACGAAAACTTCATTAGATAAAAAAAAGACACAGCAAGACGAGGCAAAACGTAAAATCTGTTCTTTTTTTAAAGATAATTCCCCAAGTCAAAAATTTAGTAACTATGTTGGCAACACAAGCCTTATCTACATAAAAAATTTGATGCATTGACAATTTTACATTGTATTGCCAACATAATGTCATTTTGACTTTTATCTTTAAAAAAAAAAACAGACTACCAAATTATGTTAGACTTAAGTATAGCAATCCGTTTTTCTAATTTGCACGGGATAAAAAAGGAAGGAGGAAGACCGCGTGTTGTGCAACGTATTTGTCAATTGAAAATTTCAAACAACTCTTGAATGTCACTTGTCAAGCTATGTCAAGTTGAATATCATTCGTACTTTTATTCTTGTCAGACCACGGGCAATGAACAAAGACAAGGAGATGCCCAGCGTGCAAAACGAACACCTCTCACCTGTACTAGTTAGCCAATAGAGAGGCATTGCCTCGTGTTGCGCGCACATACCAGGTAAAAATAGATAGGTCTATTAAAACTCTTTAAAATCAAATAGTGCCTCTGAATTAAAGCCCATCAAAACCACGGATCTCTACAGACCTTTCTGCTGTTGTTGTGGTGAAATCGGTTGTTGCTGTTGGGGTAGAACCTGTTGTTGTGGTGGACTCTGTTGTTGTTGTGAGCCCCATTGTTGCTGTGGTGGGCCCTGTTGTTGTTGTGGGCCTCTCTGTTGCTGTTGTGCTGGGCCTCTTTGTTGCTGTTGAGGTGGACCCCCTTGTTGCTGCTGTGGGGGACCCTGTTGTTGATGCTGCGAGCCCCATTGTTGCTGTGGTGGGCCCCGTTGCTGTTGTTGTGGGCCTCCTTGTTGTTGTGGGCCTCTTTGTTGCTGTTGACGTGGACCCCGTTGTTGCTGCTGTGGGGGACCCTGTTGTTGATGCTGCGAGCCCCATTGTTGCTGCTGTGGTGGACCCTGTTGTTGCTGCTGTGGTGGACCCTGTTGTTGCTGTTGTTGTCCTCGCTGTTGTTGGGGGCCTCCTTGTTGTTGATGTTGTGGGCCTCTCTGTTGCATACCATGCTGCTGCGCTTCTTGTCCTTTTCTAGCTCCCCAACCCTGTTGTGGAGGTTGAGCCGGAGCTATTCGTAAACAAAAAAAAACATAATAAATGTATACTGATTAATACAATTTTAGGCATACCTTGTTGCTGTTGTTTGGGCGCTCCTGGTTGCTGTTGTGGCTGCGCTGAAGCTGTTAATCAATCAACACAAAAACATGCTCATAATTGGCAAACAAACCATTTGATTGGATTAAACTCGTATTTTTAACTTTTATTGCTTCTGAGAGTCAAATAACGTCTACCAGTAGGTACAAGTTTTGTTTTTATCAGTGCTAGAACGAACCGAACTTGGCAAGATTATTTACAATTTTATGGCTATCATTTCTCTGGAATTTTTAGGAAATTTGTTTTTATTGCTCATGGCTTTACTTAAATCAAATAAATATAATGTGAATTAAAGTTTAAAATACGAATTTCACCCAAAAAAAAAAAAGCTTCAAACAAACCTTGTTGCCATTGTTGAGGGGCTGGTCCTCTTGGTTGACCCCATGCAGGTTTTGGTGGTGGCTGACCTGTAGGTAATTTATTGTAGGTTTGAAAAAACTCAAAATCAAAGGTTAAAAAATGATTAATTACACCTGTGGCCTGTTGCAATGGACTTGTTGCACTTTTTTTGAGTTTAAGGAGATCAGCTTCAGAAAAATACAAATGGCTGGGTTAAAAAAACCAATAAAAAAACATACATTTTGTTAAAAAAGCACAGAGCCTTCTGAAATCAATCAAATTTCATTAGGAAATGGTTATTCAATAAAATGTGCACTACATTATTAATCAAAAAACTGTTAATAAAAACTTTTTCAACACAATTGTCGAATTTTCAATTTGGCTACTCTTTGTAACAAAAACCCATAATGTCAAAATCCTACCTGCTGCCTGGGGCTGCTGAGCAAATGGTGGCGGTGGTTGCTGTGGAGCGGGCCCACCTTTCATACCTTTCCTGAGGAATAAATTTAAAAAATTACCATTTATTGAGTTCGTGTTTACTTACCCTTTTTGCTGTTGATGTTGTGGTTGCGGAGCATCACCAGATGGCCCAGGCTGATGACCAGAAGGTGGTTGATCAGAGGGTACGGCTTTACCTTTCCTGGAAAAAAATAAAACAAAAATAGTTAACTATTATAGGCACTAAGTTTTCGGTGTTCACTTGCCCCTTTTTCTGCTGATCTCCAGATGGACCCGGTTGAGGTCCAGGACCCGGTTTGGGTCCAGAAGGCCCTGCAGGGGCTGGTTGATCACCAGTCTCTTGCGGCTTCTTCTTTCCTGCAGAAAAGTAATTCATCATTGACAAATATTTCGATAAAGTCAAGTAATTTCATTTACCTTTTTTACCCATAATGGATTTTCAGATTTTCTGAAAAAAAATAAAAACATTTTATATAATTAAAGATAATATAAAAATAGATATATACAGAGTCCCATTTCAAAAAATTATGTTAGGTCTCCGACTGCTACTTGAAAAATTAAAAAATTACAATTATTGTTGCATTTTTTTAAATTTAAATGCATATGTATTTTGTTAACCTAATGCAGCAGAAATTGCCATATTTTAACTGGGCCTAAAATACATCAGGTCTGTTCTGAGGAAAAGAGTATTGATGATGGCGAATTCCATACCGGAAACGTCGGGAAACACGCCTGAGCTATAAGCCATTTTAGAGAAAGAGACAAATTATTTTAAAAAATAAAATAAAAAATCCAGGTCTGTATTTAAAAAAATGCAGTTGGTACCTACTACTGACATCTCAAAAACTGAAAGCCATGTGAAGATAACAATTACGCTATTTTGTAGAGAAGAAGAAATCTTGGAACTTTTGTATTGGACATTTTTTTCTAAAAATGATAATTTTTAAAATATTCATTGAATAAGTTTTAGGTATTTTTCTCAAATGTGGCTTTGAAACAATGCAGATACTCTTTATCTCACCTCTTATGTAAACTCTTCAACCTGTCCTTAAACACATCAATTTTTCCAGAAATCTGGAGAAAAGTTCTATTTCCTCTATTTATAAATCAGGTTGAAAGGACAATATTAAGAATTACCGCAGCTTGATGTACATGTACCTAAACTGGAAGTGTAAAGAAATACTAATTGATGAGCAACATGGACTTAGGGGGGGGGGGGGGGTCGGTCCACACATAGGTCCACACTACCCAATTTACTCATCTTAATAAGCTCTGTTTCAAACGACATGAGAACCATTCTAGAACGGTAATTTCCAGTTGCCCACCTATTTTTCAAAAAGTTGAACGTTTATCCTAATTGACAAATGAATTGATCGACTGGAAATTATCGTTCTACAACGGTTCTCATGTAGGTTGGAACAGAGCTTTAATCTTTCACAGTAAACTGACAGATGCCTTGGAGATGGGATACTAAGTGAATGCTGTGTATACTGACTTCCCCAAGATATGATTTGCTTATTAAAACGCTGATAAATTTGTGTTTTTTGCTGACAGATTGGCAAATTGGGCTGGAACTCTGTAACGGATAGAGATATTTTTTCTATCTCTATTGACGTCCTCTCTCTATTGATTTCGGAAAGAGAGAAGAAGAGACCAAGTGTCATAGCGATAGGGATAACGATCTCTATCCGTTACATAGTCCCAGCCCTGGTTTCTTAGTTTTCTTGGATAGAGGGCTCATTGTTAAAACTGGTAATTTTAATATCGAAGTTTATGAGAGTCAGTTCTGGTGTGCCACAGGGGGGCACTGTTTTCCCTTATTATTTAACCTGTTTAGCCTAGAAGAGCTACTAAATAACTGTGAATTTTTGATGTTTGCAGATGACCTTAAGAAGCTGTTTTTAATCATTCTCAATGAACTTGATATTGCCTTACTTCAAAGTGACCTCGATATTCTATCTGACTAGTGTAAGAAAAACTTATTGGATCTAAATGTTGACAAATGTTTCTAGATTTCATTTACTCTGAAGACAAATAAAATCCAATCTTCCTACTCATTAAATGATCACCAACTGAAATTAAGTGACTAAGGGATACTCGAGGGGATACTATTTGATTCTTGTTTACATTTTACTGACCATATGGATGGATTAACTGGTTGTAAAGGCCAAACAGCATGTTAGGCTTCACTCTGAGAAATTGTCAGGATTTATCTTTTTTATTTATTATTAGCATAGTAAATTACAATTATTACCTCCCGACCTCAAAAACCCCAAATCTACAGCTTATTTTTTCCCAAGATAGATTTTGACATTGTCAACTTTGAAACATAAACAATGCCGGTAATGCCGCTTATTGGTCGCAAAATGCCATTTGCACGACATGCATTGTTAAACTGATGTCAACCTGCAAGGACACCTCATTTTGGAGCAAGCATTATTAATTGTTTATGTTTCGAAGTTTTCAATGTCAAAATCCATCTTGGGAAAAAATACACCATAGAAATCAACTGAAAGTAAATTAGAAATATTATTCTTGGGATTATCAAGTTGTGCTTTTTTCCTTCTTCAGAAAATAAACATCTAAAGATTTTATTATACAAGAATCTATATTCTACCACAACACTAAAATGTTTTACCAGCACGATGGATTTTTAAAATCTGTCTGGCAACTCTCTTAAATAAATTTCAGATTGTGTTTAAGTTTTATCACTAGGTACACATTAGATTTTCCTAAATTAATTTTTCTTTCTGTTTCAAACCACAATGACACTTAGATTAGAAATTTAAGGAAAAATTACTCTTTACAATCCATTGATCAACTAGATGTTCTACTTTTTTAAATGGTCCACTTCTAATGAGAACAGGTAGGGAGGGCATTATACACTGTGGGACCCATGTAGCTGATATATCTCTGCGTTGCAGAAAGCCTGACAAAGGACAAGGCCATCAAGTTCTGATTTGCAGCACTACGAATATTGTGGTCATTTGATAATTTGTTTCTCTAGCAACCTTTGGTTAACATGAATCTTATTACAGCCTTAGGCCCAGTTGTACAATCTTGGTTCAAAACAGAGTTCAGCTAAACTCGACTGGTACTTGAACTTCCCCATTTGAAATGCATTGCTGTCAAAAATGATAGAACTTGATTAATAGCTGACAGCAATGTATTTGAAATGAGAAAGCTCAAGTACTAGTCGAGTTCAGCTGAACTTTGTTTTGAACCGAGATTGTACAACTGGGCAGTGTACATTTGTTGTACTAACAGTTTATTCTCCTAAAAAAGTAGTTCAGTTGAGAATCCTTTACCTTTAAACATCATGATTTTAATTATGCATTTTTGGGCAATAATAAGACTAGATGTTGTGGTCACTATACCATAAGTCAATATGGACTCAACCAATGAAAAATATATTATTTTCAGCATTTTTAGAGGCAGAATATTTCTGAGTTTATAAAATTTATGTATAAGTTTCCTAACTTTTTTGTGACATAATCTGTATGAGTTTTCCAACAAAATATACCCAGATACTATCATCGCATTCACATCTACTTATTTTATTATTAGTGAGACAGTTTGCTTTGTGAATCCTGAGACTCCGGCCAGTCGGTAATAGTTGGGGAGCTGGCATCAAAAACATGCAAGAGTTTTCTCAAGGCTGATATTTTCAAAATAGGTCGTACTTTAGTGTTGGAAGGCTAGTGTACAGTCAGCACTCACAGTTCCGGGATAGCTGGCCCTGGGACGCGGGCAAAGTTGTAATTTTAAGAAGCATTTAAACTGTTTTCTCAAAGTTCAAAATTTATAGAAATTTTGCACATCTGTTTGAAGGTCACAGATAACGTATGTGAATCGTCAGACATCTGGTTCGTTGCAGAAAGGGGGTCAGAAGTCCTCAAAGTTTTTATTTTATGGCATTTTTTTCAGATATATTTGTCAAATACCTACAAAAATATATTTTGACAGGACACCGAAGAAAATGCCATAAAATAAAAACTTTCCGGGCGTCTGAAACCCTTTTCGCAGCGACCTAGACGTCTGACAGTTTACACACGTTATCTGTGACCTTCAAACAGATAATGTGCAAAATTTCTATTAATTTTGAGATTTGAGGAAACAGTTAGATACATCTTAAAATAACAACTTTGCGCGCGTCCCAACGCCAGCTGTCCCGGAACTGTGAGTGAGAAGAACATCATTAATATAGATAGACGCTTTGGACGTGGTGAAATCTGTATATTGTGGGTTCATTAGGTCTCACCTTGAATATGGGTCAATTATTTGGACTTCACAATATGAATATAATGTTCACAAGACCATGCTAGAAATTGCTGACCATGACTATGCTAATATTTTAAATTATTTTAAGTATCTTTCACTGCAAAAGAGGAGGATTATGTTTAATGTTTTTTGTTATTTTCAGACTATTGAATGAAATTTTTTCATGGCTTTTTTTACTTTCTCAAGTCAAAGTTGCTGTTCGGCAAAGAATTTTTAGACAAAATAATGTATTTTCTGTTGGTTGGGTTCCATAAGACTAACTATGGGAGACATACTTTTGGAACTTTGACAGCTTTGGATTTTTTAAACAGGGAGAAATAGATGTTTTTAATGGCTCATTTCAACCCTTTAAAAAAATAGTAGATTCACTTCAAACCAAACTGAAATATGATTGTTATGTAGGTAATAGTGGAATTGGAATTTTTTTTTATGGGATGTGATCTGGTTCGTTATAACTTCATTTTGCACCTTATTATTTCTCTAATGTGGCTTTTTCGTTTATTAAAAATATTGAAAAAAAATAAAAACTGGATAGAATATTGGAAGATAATTAGAAAGACGTCGAATGTGCCTTGATCTGCCCCTCTACTCCCTCTGATAAGTAAGATAGAAAAATAAATTCCATTTAAATTTTGATAGAATTTTGTTGGAGAGTAATTAAAATGACGTTAAATGAGCATTGATCTATCCTTTTAGTCCCTCTGATGAGGAAGATAAAAACACAAATTGTAAAAATAGTTTTTTTTGAGGGGATAGGTAACCCTTGGGGTAACCACTAGTAGAAAAATGTGACAAGATTGCAGAATCTGGGGATTGCGGGTAGATTTTCAAGGATTGCAGGTAAATTTTCAAGGATTGTGTGGGTTTTCAATAATTAATTTTCCAGGGTTTCATATTCTATGGGTTTAATAATTCCTTTAGCCAGTTTTGTTTTTTTCAATGCAATATTGGAACAAAAATAGTGCTACGAAAGAATTTTTATGACCAATAGCTCCAATTTAGACTGTTCAGCACCAACCAAGAAGCCAGCTGTAGCTTTTATTTATTTATTTATTTATTACAGTCTTTAGGACACAAACGGGAAAAGTCCAAAAATAGTATCCTGATATTACATTATACAGAAATACAATAAAAAATATATCAATAGGTAATTAACAAATTTAAAAGTAATATCTAGCTAAAATTAAAAATACAGTATATAACAATAGAACAAGAAGAGGTACCCTGCATCAAAACATCACAAACAATATCACATAGAAAATATCACATAGGTTTCAATGCAATAAAGCATACATTGATTGAACTACCCCAAAAGCTTCAACTTGAGATTCCTTTTAAAAGATACTGAACTTGTTGAGTATAAATCTAGGTTACAGTCAGTACAATGTAAGTTGGCAGACTTAACCATTCTCACCAAAGGTGCATTCTGACTGTAATTTGTTCTACAATATGGAACATAAAATAAATCTCGGTTTCTGAGCCTACAGGCAGGTACGTTAAATTGGATTTGTGAAAGAATTGCCGGAGAACTAGAGAGATTATTAATAATTTTAAATAGTGTCATGATATCTGCCAAAGTTCGTCTTTTCTCCAGTTCTAAAATTCTAAAGTGGGATCGAACCAATGAATAATCATGATCCACTCTATGGAAATTGGTTTTATAGCATAGGAATCTTAAAAAATTGTTTTGTATTTTCTCCAATCTATCGATTTTATTTTTATATCTAGGATTCCATATGTCGGAAGCAAATTGTAGTTTACTAAAAACATATGAATAATAAAGTGTTTTTATGGTCTCAGACTTATGAAAATCAGCACATTGTCTTTTAATAATGCCCAACATTCTGTAACACTCATTAACCAATTTGTCAATGTGTAGACCGAATGTCATTTTGGGATCAAATAGCACACCCAGATCTTTAATGTAGGAAACCCTATTCAAGGAAGTATTTCCCAGCTTGTAGTCACAATTAATAATCGTCGATCCACGATCCAAGACATTATAGAGCATTTATCAGTTTCAAAAAAGTTGATTTCTGTCACAGAATTCTACCAAGTTGTTGATACTGTTTTGAATGTTTTCACAGTCCAGAATAGAGTTGATCCTGAGAAAGATTTTCAGATCATCAGCATAGCAAAGGAACTGGCAGTTTTTAAAGCAATGTTTTATATTGTTAATGTAGATGACAAACAACAGCGGGCCAAGATGGGAACCCTGCCTCCCGAAGAGGGAGAGAATCTTCCAGAACAGAACCCTAGCAGAGCCACGACATTGACCTATTCAATAAATAGGACTTTGTGTGCATTTATATTAAACTCCCCCTGCTCTCTCTTATACCTAGGAAGTATGGTATCCCTACATAAAATTATCATCACCAGTACACAATGAACTGGGCTGGTATTCTCGTTTTCGAAAACGCTCGCTGCTTTTCAGTCGCTCGACACTTTTCATTTGAATTTACATTAGAAGTGCCGAGCGACTTATAAGCGGCGAGCGTTTTCGAGAATGAGAATAGATGAGTGTGCCGAGACTTTTGTGTGTATGATTGAGCAATTTATTAGAAACTCTACAGAAAGAAAACTCATAGCAAATAAAAGATACAGATTGAAACCTTGGATTACAGCGGGCCTCCTTGTCTCAATCCGAAAAAGGGATAAATTAAAAAAAGCTCTTGTACAAGACCCAGACAATATTGTTCTAAAAAATAGCTATGTCATGTACCGAGGCAAACTTAGTAAATTAATAAAGAACTCAAAAAAGAATTATTATAAAAGGTTGATTGATACTTGTCAAAGCGATTCACAAAAAACATGGAAAACCATAAAAAATATTGTAAATCAAAATAGCACTGTATGTCAAATAAAATCTATTAGGACGCAGGAAGGCCAGCTGATAACAAGACAAAATAAAATTGCTGAAACTTTTAATGAGTTTTTCAATGTAATAGGAAAGAAGCTTGCTCAAAAAATTAATAAAGGACAGGCACCACAGAGTAGAGTCTGGCGAAACAATGAAGAGTGCAAATTTGATCCTATAACTAAAAATGAATTAATCATGCAAATCAATTCTTTGAAGTCTAATGCAGCAGGTTCCGATTCGGTTTCTCCCAGGATACTTAAAGGCTTTCATCACTTACTACTTAGACCACTGCTTCACCTAACCAATCTCGTTTTCACTCAAGGGATATTCCCAAACATACTAAAAAAAACTATCATCATTCCAATTTATAAAGCTGGGAAAAAAGGTTTGACTACTAACTATAGGCCAATTGCTCTTACAAGTACGATTGCTAAATTAATTGAAAAATGCATTAAACTAAGAATGACAAGTTTTTTGCAAAAGCATAATATTATTTCTTCAGATCAATATGGGTTTCAGGAGGGAGTTGGAACTGAAAATGCACTGTGTCAAGTAACTGAATATATTGTAAATGATCTTAACAAAAGAAAAAAAAACAATAGGAATCTTTCTAGACTTGTCCAAGGCCTTTGACACTGTGTCACACCGAATTATGTTGGAAAGATTGGATAACATTGGAATAAGAGGAAAACCTCTGCAGATTTTAAGTTCATTTATTAGTGAAAGACCTCAACAGGTAAGGATAGCTAACGAAATAAGTAATCCTCTTCCAACAGAGTTCGGTGTGCCGCAGGGTACGGTCCTTGGACCAGTATTATTTACAATATATATTAACGAGCTCTTGAAGCTCGCTACTGGAGCTAAAATCATCTGTTTTGCTGATGACACAGTTGTGCTGATAAGTTCTGACTCTTGGAATGATACCTATAAAAAAGCTGAGAGAGTTATTGGAGAAGTGAAGCAGTGGTTGGACAGCAGCCTGTTAACACTGAATGCCGAAAAAACGACTTTTCTAACTTTTACAATGGCAGCTGCTACGCAGCCCCAACTACAGGAGTTAATAATCCACGACTCCGAATGCGACTCAACAAGAAATTGTAATTGTACGACAAAAATTTTGAAAAAAGATTGTGTTAAATATCTCGGGGTTTATATAGACCAGCAACTACAATATAAACAACACATAGACTATGTAACAAATAAGTTAAGAAAGTTGATCTATAAGTTTTTACAACTCAGACAGATATTGAATATTAACACAATTAAGGCGGTGTACTATGCTCTTGTTGAGTCCATTCTAACATATGGTCTATTAGTTTGGGGATTGGCATCGAAAGCAGTGCTAAAACCACTGGAGGTGATTCAAAAAACTATAATTAAAATTATGCTCTTTAAAAACAAAACATTTCCCTCCAGTGAGCTCTTCAAAATTGCCAGGCTTGATGTCCGTGAAGCTTCTATTAACTAGAGTATGTGTTAGGTTTATGATTAAGTCGGTAAATTACAAAAACTACAAGCTCAATGTTCGAACAACAAGAAATGCAAATAAATTAATAGTTCCTAAAATGAATTTCACAAAAACATATCCTGTACATAGGTCCAAAAATCTTCAATATGTTACCAGATTCTTTCAAAATTGGGAAATATAATAAAATTAAAAAACGAGTTAACACATGGATTTTTGAAAATGAATTTCTAGTGCCATTATAATAGTGATTACAATTACTTAAATTTAATATTTCTGTGATTTTCTTCACCTAAGAATTAATTGTTATTTTTTTTTTGAATTGTTATCTTTTTTATATTCTATAGGTTATAAAACCAAGTTTACTGTTAATTTAATTTAGAGGTTTTCTTGGGCATACACACACAAACTCTAGGGTTCATTTGTATGTCCAGAAGATATGTTAATCTTACATTGTATACTGATTTTGCAGTGAAATAAATAAATAAATAAATAAAAATACAGGCCCGGTCAACTGTAAAAATTTTATTGCTGGCTCCTTGCCTTGTTGCTGGGCACGAATATTAAAATTGACTCCCAAAAGTCCCAAATTGTGCAAGATTGCATCATGGTTTATGATTTCTATAATAAACTTCCACAAAAAAATATAGGAATCATACGTATTCAACATAAAGAAGATGCAAAATCTAATCAATTTTCTTACCTCCTAGCACTGGTAAATTTCAGGAAAATCACTAAATACACTGACGCTTTTCTACGAAGTGAGAAACGAGACAATGAAACTATCGGACACGTTTTATGAATTATTCTATTCAATTCTAGAGGGGAATTACTAAAATCCACCCAACCACAGGACTGCCAACTGTCAACCGAATTGAACAAAAATCTAGAATATTTCTGATGAACTTTCAAATACAAAAGACAAAAGTTCTATTTTAAATATTGCGTATTGGCAACAAAAGCAGCAACCATTTTGGCCACCATCAACTTGAAAAATTGTGTCGGTGACTGCCACAGATTAGTGACTGCCACCTGGCCTTGTTTTTTAAATTATTATTAATTTGCTTGTTGGTATTTTACTTGCACTTACCAGATAATCGCTTAACTGTGATTCCACAAAATATTTTTATGAATATAATGGAGAACTACGCTTGCTTGCACGATAATTTCAATTATTCAATTTCTTGAAATTATTTGTTTTTTTTTTACTGTCATCAAAACAAAAAATGACATAATCTACATTGCAAAAATGTCATTCTAAGACCATGGATTCCGGAGTAAAAAGATTGTACTCTCTCCACCACTGGTTTCGGTTTTCGGATTAAGTGGAGCAAGATGATTTGCGTTCGGTGTTTTAAGAGTAACGGAGCAAAATTATCAACATTTGGGTTTTGGAGAAGGAGCAAAATGATTTTGCTCCAGAACCAATTTCGTTGCACTAAATAGATGCAAGGTTTCAAGGCATACAAAAGAAGTGATGCAAAATTGCACTGAATGCATTTGAGTGCAGCCATGACAAATAGAAATTGCTATATAAGAACTATATATGGGCGCTTTCTTTTATTCAGCGGTGGATCCATCAGTGATCAGCCTTTCTTTGTCTAGCTCATAGAAAATTGGAATGTCTGTCTCATAATGGTGGCAGCAGATGCATCCATTGCTGAATAAAAGAACGCGCCCTATGAAATTTGGATGATGAAACCTACTAGAAAATCAATTTGACCTTTGACATTTGACAACATAATTATGTTGAGGGGAGTCCAACGAGAGCGAGTATTTTCTTTTTGAGGATTTACCAAGGTCGTTAATTTTTTTATCATACTGTGGTTTTTCATTCCTATGCAGAGAACTGCATTAAAAATGATAGAAATTGGGACCGCGTTAGTACAAATTTAAATTAATCGATAATTAAATAAGTGTGATTTTCCGGTGTTTTTCCTATTCCAAACTTGTAAAAAAGTGAGTAACAGAATGCGGCTCATATCTCGGCTCCAGACGGTCTCCAAGATGCTGGATTTTTATTCCCAGTTTAATCCATCGCCCTTGAGCATTAAAAAGTTTATTGACTTTGGTAAGTCTTTCAAACAACTTGTCTGTTATTTATATATTATGTATATCATTGTATAATATTTATTATTAAGTATCTCTTAAATCAAGACATAAAACATAAATGTATGAATTAATAATGGAAAAAGTGACTATTTCTATAGGATTTATACACAGCTAATTTACGTTAGATGCCCCTTTTTCGTTAAAATTACTGAGAAATTTTTCATAATTATTCAAAACAATGCTTTACAGACTTTATCGAAAAGCTTTTTCTTGAAATTCTCCCAAAATAAGATTATTGTGACATTCATTATCAATGATTCAATAGGTAGACTTTGAAACGCCTTATAACACATATTTTTTGTCATGGTCAGATTTACGCATGCCAAGATTCTCAATTTACATTTTATTCATTGAAGACATAGATTGAAGAGAATCCATGTCAGTTTTCAAAATTGGCCAATTTCATTGTCAATGCCAATTTAAATTGATTATACATTTTAAAAAACCTGAGTTCCAGCTCTGCTTGAGAACCATCTTTCTCGGTGCATTCATTGCAATTATCTTTTTAGAATGAAATTGCTTTTAGGCAATGTTCAGACACAATTCTACTTATTTTGTTCAATTAGTAGTTAAGTTCACAGGTTTAGGACAAATAAAACTCCAATTTTCTCTTTCAAAAAATTGCCAAAGTTTCGACTTTAATTTCAGTCATTATCAAGGCTGAAACAACAGAGACAGCATACAGGAAAATATTGAAGAACAGATACATCCATCGAGGATACATCAATACTAAAAGATTACTTTTCGAATAATTAGTTAATAGCCTGTTAACTAACTAAACAACTAACCTGCGAACTTTACTAATACATTAAGAAGGACAGTATAAGTACCTACTTTACAATTATGTTCAATATTATGATCATATTTTTGGTAAAATTGGTAAGCTTTATTTGAGGCTTTATTATTGAAAAGCTAAAATACTTAGATGTAAATATAATAAATCAAAATCAGTCTTTACAATGTTTATTTTGTTATATTTTATTATCTGTATCATACAAGAAGCCATTTTTCAAACTTATTTCAAACAAAAACACAATAATATCTCCGAACTTTGGACCTTGAATTTATCATGCTTGTTTTCATTTAGAGAATTCCAGGAATGACGTGAAAATAAATATTTTATGTGTTTTGCTATAATAATTGTGAAAGATTATGATATGCTCTGTTTTCTGATGAATTGTATACCTATATGTTTATACATACAAAATATATAATGCCAATAGGGCCATTCATCTCTATAATGGCTTATTTTCACCTATTTAGTTATTTTTATGGTACTCAGTACTCGCCTGCTTTTTTGAATAGATAAACAACAAATTAGCGATCCTGTTAAGATCAAGTAAAATAAGTAAATATTTTAAGGTGACTTGTTTATTAATAGTTATTTAGGCAAGTCTAGAAAAATTATTTCCCAGGCATGGATTGCTGGATACACCTAATTTATCAATACAGATACTTAAGTTTATTTTGTGGGTTAGTTGATGGGATTGTGGAATGTCCTGTCCTTCTCAACAAAATTGGACATTCAATTTTTTGAAAAATCTGTGTGTAAAAATATTTGTTACTCATTAGAGTACCCTACTTATTACCATTGAAACTATTTTCTAATGAAAAGTCAATCGGAACTAATTAGACAGCCTATGGCAAGGGGTAAACCGCGGTACATAATTGTGTACCTACACTTATTTCAGAACAGAGAGAGATTTCACAGATTTCATAAAGATTAGGTACAATGATTACATGGAGGATTGCAAAGATTACAAGGGGAATTGCAAGGATTTCAAGGGGGATTGCAAAGATTACATGGATTGCAAGAAGAATTTATGTGTTGGCAACTCTTCCGAAAGTCACCAACTTTTGTTTTAATGGCTGTCCAGCTTTATTTCTTTCTTACATCTATAATACAGTCTATCTCTAATATTAATAGGAGGATCGTTGAAAAGCTTTGGACCTAACCAATGTGAAACTGTCATATACCTAGTATGTTTAGGGGTTTGACTTATAAGACCTCTTTGAGTCGCATTTTTCATGTTCAGTTCATGAATAATTGGTTCCTTATGGTAAGACACTTTCAACATAAATCTAATAACTGACCTAAGATGCAACTGTCAAATATCTAACAATCCACTCCCACTAAAAACCAAATCAGTTGGGCATGTTTTGTTCTTAAAAAGCATAATTTTTATTATATATTTTTGCGCTACCTGCAGTTTGAAATAGTCATCCCTGCATTTCCCCACACTACAATGCCATAATTCGAGCCATAATTTATTATCGACTCTACTAAAGTAAAATATACCTACTGTTTTCAATGTATTAAGTGTTAGGATATTTCTTAGTTCATATGCAACATGTTTTCTCCATGTAAAACTTTCGTCCAGAAAGACTTCCAAGGAGTTTATGGAGTATTTCCTTTCAATAAAGTCTTCACATGTACAGTTGTGATTCAAGATAGGTACATCCATTTTCATGTAGTTTTATACTTTGATAAGTAGGCAATGTTCGTGAGGAGAATAAAAAGATAAGAAATTTTGTTTTCTCAACATTTAGTGAGAGTAGACCGAGGAGTAGACTGTCATTCAGCCATGCTTTCATTTTTTTCAACACAAATTCTGCTTTTCCCTCTGTATTCTCCCCAGTTATCTCCCCAGACAATAGGCTCCTTGCATCAATTTTTTTTATTGCTGATTTCGATAGCCCATGAAAAATAAGTCAACACGTGTTTTTTCTTTTGCTTCTTAGTCAACAATTGACGGAGATACAACACTATGAAATCTGCCTATGACGTCACTTATCTAATAAATAAGTGACGTTGCACATGCTCTGTATATCTATATATACAAAACTTAATATTTGAATAACTTCCGGAATAAACATATTTGGGCGAAATAAAAAAAAGTAACGATTTTTTTTCGATTTCCTACAGTTTGCAATAAACAATAATCAATTTAATTTTCCATGCAAGTACCCTATTATAGCAGAGTCATCGGCAAAACAGAACACCAACCCTTCTTCCGATAGTAATGACAGTATGCCATCAATATATATAGGGTGTCGCAGGGAAACAATCTGGAAAAACGCTCGGGCACGTCGATTTTTGATTTGAGGGGAAACTATTTTTCCGTTTTTTTCATCCCCATAGCCTCGCCCATAGGTTTAACAACCTAGGTGGGGGAAACGACCTTAAAAGAGGTATGACACTATCCCCTATTCAAATTTGGGGAGTTGTTCTCCCTTTAGTTAGGGGGTTGAAGCTACGGGGATGATAAAAACTAAATAATATTTCCCCCTCAAATAAAAAATAGCATTTTCCTAGATTTTCATTTCAAATCGAAAAAATCAGGGTGGACTGTGTGGAATCACTGTAGCAGATTTTAGCGACTCAGAGAAGATTCCAGTACAAAAAATGACATTCACTATATGCAGTAATGGTTTCATAACGACTCCTTTATATTTTTTTCAAAATATTTGAACAGATACAGTTCTCACACCCTTTTATATTACTTTTGAGACTATGATTTTTATTTATTTTTTCTAATTCTTCCTCTGTTATCGGATTCAGCAGGAAGGAGATAGTTAACTTTGACACCCCCATCAGTCCCCTTGACACCCTGTTATTTTTTATTTCACTGGCTAATTTTTTCCCAATATTTGAAAAATAATGATTGAATTCCTGGGCAATTTGTTCTTCATTTATTATTTCATGACCTCTCCATCAATGATACCTTTTATCTCTGTTACCCCATCTTAGTCATTTGTTGCCTCTTTAGGGCGGAATTTATAGTCGATCCTTGAGGTTTCCCCAGACCTTAAGAAAGCCTTGAACGTTTAGAATTGATATAACTAACTTGTCAAATATTAGCAAGTGTCCATTCTAAACTCGCGACTCCAAGGAAGATTCAATGAACGACTAAAATTCGGCCCTTAATACTTAACTTTCCAAAGCTTTTTGGATCCTTAGAATTTTTTTGTGCAAGTAACTTATAGGAATTTGGCATTTTTTATAAGTTTTGATAGCCTTGATCTATGTATATTCCCTGTACCTGTTTAATAAGATTAAATTTTTATTGTTAAGAGTGCAGTCTTAAGCTATCTTTGGTTCTTATTGAGACTAAAATACCTTTGATATTCCAAGGTTTAATGTGCTTATTTTTACAAGAAATACTATTAAGTTTTGTTGAATCCGAAATAATATTCTTCAATCTATCCATAAAAATATTTGTACCTACATACGTTTGAGTCCCATAAGCCCAACACAAATCATCCCATCCAACTTTTGCCTAGATGTTTGACAATTTAAGTCAATTTTTTAAATAATATTTGTAACACTTCACGATTTTTGTGTTGGTTTGTATACTGAGTAAGATGGGATTGTTCAAGTTCACCAGTATTGGACTATCATCCTTATTTCTAATTCTAAATATTTCCAAGATTGCATTGCTTTCCAATTTAATATTTAATCCTAGGATGATCTTTGTGGCCATCTCAATTCTATTTGTATCTGGGTCTGTCTGCTTTGATACCCCATTATTTATGATATTGCATGCCTTCTCGTTCACGTCTAACTCGTTCAACTTAGTGTTCTTGTTTCGTCCATTAAGCTCTCAAACTCAGTTTTTTGCTCTTCAAATGCATCTGGCATGAATTCCGTGAATTTCTCAAGGGCTGTCAGCTTTTCCTCCTTTTTTTTCACCACTGGGTTGAAAAATTGCTTAAAAGAGTCTTGGATGATTCTTTTCAGCTTGTTCTCGTCCATTCACATTACATAAAATACATGGTTTAGGTACAGAAAGAATACATCAGAATACATGTATGATGTATTATAAAAAAATGCAGGAATTGCAAGGAAGGGTAAAATTAAAAGATACTGAAGTAATATGACATACTATGTCCAACACATATCATTTTAAAGTCACGTGATTTTTCTCTATCCTTGTTGAATACATCTCAAACAGTGGTGATAGTAAAATTGACAAAAAAATTGCTGTCTAATTATTGTTCATAAAATTCTTACCTGAAATAGAATCCGTCACTGTCATCAATTAGTTTGTCAACGTTATTTTAGAAAATGATACAACGAATAAACACAGCTAATAATTTTGACTATATTAACCTTTTTCCAACTCAAAAAGATGCAAATAGAAAACGGGTACCCAATTCAAGTTCAGAATGTATTACAAGGGGCAGCAGAAGCGACAAAAATGAGTCTCGCAACAATTGCAAGTATTAAAATTCTCATCTGATTGGTCAATACTACTTCAGAAACGCGTTTGTAAAATGCTAGTGGGAACATATCTTAAAATTCAATAGTCATTAACCACAAGTAGCTTTTTGTAGGTGATATCAACGACATAATCAACGAACATACGTTTTTTGCCACCAATATCACATGACTTTAAAATGGTATTTAGCAGCTAAAAATGAGAATGAGCCTTTATAATATATAAAATAGAAATAGAATACACTTTCCAAAGCTGGTATATTAAATGAATACGTTTATAATCTAAGACTTATACGCTAAGAGGATAATATTGTATAAATAATACCTACTCAAATTAAATTTCTTATACAGGGTGTCCCAGGTAACTGCATAGGGATTTCGAAAATGGTAAGAGATACAATTTTAGTTCAATGGAAAAAAAAGTAGTGCTATTTCGAGTCCAATCAGTTGCTGTATCGAAACTGAAAATACTTCCTACAGTTACATAGCTATGACAACATACACAATTACAGCATTTGTTTCACAACCAAATGAAAAACTGTTGTTTTTTTTTAATTTAAATTTTCCATCATTCAAAGATAGACCTGTCATACATGGTTAAAAAGCCCTTTTTATGCTCCAATTAATGACGTAAAAAACCAATGCGGTTGCCATAAGAAATAATAAAGTTGGCTTTGGTTGCAAATAAACTAGAAGGCCTGGAAAAAATTTGTTAACGTCATTCGATTGTCCAAGTCCCTAATACAAAACTACCGAATTTTAATTAATTTGTTTACAAGATGGCGACGATATTTCAATTTTCGAAAAACACAATTTTTGGTTTTTGTGATATTTTGAGAACCCCTATAGATATTTTCAATTTTGATGCAGCATCCGATTGCTCTTGAAATACCGCAACTTTTTTCCCATTTAACCTCGCATTTAACCAAAATTGTATGTCTTACCGTTTCCAAAATACCCATTTAGTTACTTTTATGTGGGACACCCTGTATGAGATGGGAATAAGTAGACATATCCATGATTGGTCCAAAAATACATTATCAAAGTTGCAATATTCACAAAAATATCATTAGGTATTAAATAAAGTCATAAAAAAATTGCCTCATCGCTAAATTAACATGCAGTTTAACAGAGGAAAATTTGAATTTTCATTGCCAAAATATTCACTTCTAGTTAATTCCCCAGAAACTAATTTCAACAATTAACGACCCGTGAATCGTCATAGATAAATATAGAGTGGGCCACTGGCTATTGAGGAGAAAAAAAACTTATTTAAAAATTTATTTAATCTTTTTGAAAAAATAAAAATAATTGTTTAATTATTTTAGGACTCAATGCCTCCGAAGAAAGATCCTTCATATTCCTGAGAAAAGAACTGCCAGTTAGGTTAGCCAATATCATGAAAGAAATCGCTTTGTTACCTGAAAACCTTTTAAGAATGCCTTCAGTTGTTGCTGTTAATGATTGGTAAGCAGAAAGATTTGAGTGAAAATGTTCCAAATGTGGAATTTTCTCAGTAACCTTTATTCAAAGCACAATGAGCAGTAGTCCATAGAATAATTTTAAAAAGTGCCTTCACGCAAATTCCTTTTCTCTCAAGGTACATGCAAAGTTTCCAAGAAATCCTCGAATTCGAGAAACGCGATCCTTCGCCCGGTTCAATGGAACATTTCTGCAACGAACTCGTAAAAATCCGAAACCGACATTCCGACGTGGTGGAAACCATGGCTCAGGGCGTTCTGGAACTGAAAGAGTCCCACGACGTCGACAGTCATACTGAGCACAGTATTCAGTATTTTTTGGATCGATTTTATATGTCTAGGATTTCCATTCGGATGCTCATCAATCAACACAGTAAGTTTGGTTTTTTTAATATTTTCAAGCCATAATAAGGTTGAATTAGATAATAATAATAATTTTAATAATTAGGAAACAGGATAACCTTCAAAATGATTGTTTAATTATTGTTTTTAATACTGACATTATTACCTTGAATTTTAAAGTTTCCTGTTTCCAGACTAAATTATGTATTATTGCACTTTGTTAGTGTTTTTTTTATGTACCTACATATTTTATTTTTTTATTTCAGCTCTGTAATAAGTTTTCGATAATGTTGTTTCTGTATAGAAACCACTTTTTAGCCATTTTGAAAATTTGTGACGTTTTTTTTATATTTTTATCTACTTCTAGATATAATAATTATTAAACTTCGTCTTTATTTTGTTGAGAAAAAAGGTGATAAACAAAGGTAAGATGGTTAGAGCAGCTGGGATTTTTTTTTTGTTGTCTCAATAATTAATCAGTCATATTCATTTATAATATAAATTATTTGTTTTGAAAGATATATGCATCACCATTGTCCCAAACTAGACATATGTTTTGCCTACTTCAATTCTATTTGATCCCGTGATATTATTTACCTACTTCAAAATCATATCAACAATAAGATAAGTTATATTTATTTATTATCCATTATATAGAAAATGTCAATTAGATTACAGTTAATTAGCACTCTTAGTAAACAAGCTATAAAAAAAAAAATACTCTGTAATAATGGTTCTCCAATTAATTACTTTCATGGTATAAGGCACACCTTGTATTATAACATAAATCATTATTTATTTTGCTAATGCATGTTTGTATTCTAAAATCCACCATTCACAATATTTGAATTAAATTAAGAACTATGTGTTAAACTCCTCTCTAATTGTAAAACAGTTAATTTATTTTCAGCCCTAATCTTTGGCGGGCAACTGGAAAACGCTCCGGGACCGAATCAGAGCAAATATATAGGGTGTATCGATACACAGTGCGATATAGTCAGTGTCATAAAGGACGCGTACGAAAATGCCAGATTTTTGTGCGACCAGTACTATTTGGCCTCGCCGGAGTTGGTTATTCATCAGGCTCAACATAACGGTAAGAATTGTCTGTGTTGTGGTTGAACAGTTAAATAAGACTGCAGGGAATCCATTTTAAGCATCAATAAGTTTTTATTTATTGTTTCAAATGCTCTTCTGAAGTTTAAAAAAACCAGGCCGATGATTTTTCGTTTTTTCGAAGCATATTTCCAGTTGAAAAAAAAATATCTGTAACCCATTTTCATAATTTACCTCCTTTGGATTTTTATTCCAAAATCTTTAAGCTTGAATATCTTGAAATCCGTGAAAGATATTGAATCAAAATGTTCAGGAATATTAGCTCCTATTAAGCTCTAAAAAACCTGTATTGTGAAATATTCTCAGGTTTATAGTTTTTGAGAAAATTGAGTTTGACTAAAATTCAACTTTGAGGCTCAATTGTTCTAAAAGTATTTGAGCTAGGAAACTCAATTTAGCACAGATTTATAGAGAATTTAATGCTCTTTCCAAAAGTATATAATTTATTCTCATTATTTTCCAGATTTACAAAAAGAGCAATACATAAACATAGTCTATGTACCCTCCCATTTGTATCACATGCTATTCGAACTGTTCAAAAACTCCATGCGAGCCGTAATGGAATATCATAATTTGAGCAACGAGTTTCCGCCAATCACAGTTGCTGTGTCAAAAGGAAAAGAAGATATTTGTTTGAGGGTAAATTTCTACATTATATTTTATTTATTGAAATCGTCATTTAAATTATGGTTTTTTAGATGTCCGATTTGGGAGGTGGGATTGCTAGATCAACTACAGATCACCTATTTAAGTACATGTACTCTACTGCCCCTCAGCCAAGTAAATCCGATGCTCATACGGTACCGTTGGCTGGGTACGGGTACGGCCTACCAATTTCTCGATTGTATGCAAGGTACTTTCATGGTGATTTGGTACTGTTGTCTTGTGAAGGTTATGGTACTGATGCTGTAATTTACATGAAGGTAAATATATTTTTTTTTTGTAAGGGCTTGCTTTGAAATAGTTGTTTTTCTCTAGGCATTGACAAACGAAGCTAATGAACTTCTACCAATTTTCAATAAGACAACTTCGAAATTCTACAGATCTACAATTCCAATGGGCGATTGGTCCAATCAGGCCACTCACATTGGCGATAGACAAATTTGCATAAACACTAGAAAACATCAATTGCCGCAATCGTCTCAGGAGACTTTGACGAGGGTTTTGTAACCTTTAGACGAAGGTTTTTAGTCTGTTTTTTCGATTTAGAATTAGATTTATTTTATGCTAGTTTTTTGTTTCATTTATTATGACTTGCTCAATTTTTGAGTGTAAAGGGATTGAAAATAGGCAATCTTGATTTTGAGATATTATTTTGAACCAAAAATTATTTCCAAATTGTTTTTTTTAATAAATTATTGAAATTTGTTAATAATAAATTTAGAATTTAAACTAGACAAACTGCAATTTAGTACCGTAGTAAAAATACAGTTTTAATGTGTGTGTTAATCTAAATTATAAATTAATTTTTTTAATAATTATTTGTTATTCTTTCTTAGTTGTTATTGTTATACACATATAAAAAAAAATTGGGGCGGTTTTGATTACAACCCCCTGTATAATTTTGTTAAAATGATACGTTTAATTAAAGGTCTATGTAGTCATATTGTGTGATAATTATTATTAATTATATTTACAATTAGTTAATAAAAAAATATAGGTTTTAGGTAGTCTATACGCATATCAACTTATTGTTTTATTAATAATTTAACTTCTGTAGATTGGGTTAGACTACAAGAAAATGCGGATCAGAAAATCTTCATTTTATGAAGACCTACTACAAAGCATAGAAAAACTGTTCATGAAAACCAGAGAAGTACGAAAACGAAAAAGCTACAAAGCTGCTTACGCTTACTGTGTGAATGGAACAATATTTTTGAAGAAGAACAACACTGACACTGTCATAAAAATCAAGTCCGAGGCACACCTCATGTTCCTCATGTGATCAAATAAGGATACCAAAGAATAAGTATGATAAAGTAAACCAATTTTCAAATCAAACGATACTCTGGATGATTATAAATCCACAGAAGCATATTATATTTGTGATAATTTTAGTTAAATAGACTGCTTTGATGATAGTTATAGGTATGTTAACATAATGCATGTTAAATATACGCAGGTTTTATCAGAATTTTGAGCAGTTTTTGGTTTTCTTGGAGTCAATGGGGAAATCTTTTGATGGAGGGAACGCATTATATACACTACAGTAGCGACTTTAACACACCTGGATATATGTTTTTTTAATGAAAATAAGCTTAATAGGTGCGATGGCTGTTGAATTTATGCTAAGCAGAAATACCACATGGAAGATAATATATTGCAAGAAAAAACCTAAAGATCATTATTAGTGTCACCATACAAAAAAAAATAAAAAAGTCATGGATGTATTAGCTACTTATGGAAGCTTTCCAACCAGAAATGAGGAATTTATTGAGAACTTAAGAAGGATTCTACAGGGTGCAACCAAGGATCAAAACAGAGTATATTTATTTGCTGGAGACATAAACATTGACTTGCTAAAATTTAACTCAGAAGCGACAAATAACTATTTAAGCTTAATGTAAATTCACAGATTTGTTGGTGCAATGAACAAAATGACAAGAAAAAGAGAAAATGGAGGATCCTGCCTGGGTCACTTCTTAATCAGGTGCAAGAACTATCTCTTCAGTGGTGTTACACCTATGTAATTTTAAAAAAGACTTTACGGATAATAACCCTATCTTACTTTATGTTGGAAGAACCAATAGCTAGTGCAAGTAACTTGAGTTCATACAATAAAATTGATTAGGTATAATAAGTTATCTGAAAAAATAGAAGGAGAGAGATGGGGTGGTGTTCTGCAAGAGATAAATGTAAAGTACTAATCTGCTCGTAGATAGACTGAAATCCATGATCTCTGAAGTGACTGTAGTAAAGTCAATTACATATTTAGGCCAGGTTACAGAGCATGATGTTTTTAGGGAGATAGGAAGTTTGAAAAATGAGGTAAAGGGCAGGAGAAGATGGTTTTTCTGCAGATATAATTATAAGGTTTAAGGAAAAGTTAGTTGTCCCTCTGAGGCATGTTATTAATATAATTTTCAGTGAAGTGAGTTTTCCCAGAAGACCAATAGCACTGGTGAGTACTATTAGCGAAATTGTAGAAAAGTATCTTGGAAGTAAACTAATATGCTATTAAACAAAAATCAATATGCATTAAGGGAAAACTCTAAGACAGAATATAAGGGTGACTGAAAAAATATTCAGGGGCCTTCACCAGGGGAAAAAAGTGATGGGAATTTTTTTGGACTTGAGAAAGGTTTTCGACACTGTGGCTCACCATGTTCTACTAAGGCGCCTGGATGACATTGGAATCAGAGGAATGCCAAATAAACTGATTAAATCATATCTGACAAAAAGAAAGTTAGCTACAAATGTATCAGGACAAAAAAATGAGGCGAGGACTAGTGGAGCATGGGATGCCGCAGGGTACAGTCTTCTCAACTTTGCTATTCAATGTATATGTCAATGAAATAATGGAACAGCTTCAACAAGGTGACATTTATTGCTTGCAGACGACACTGCAATTATAATAAGCAGGGGGATTGGGATTTAGTGAGACAGAAGGCTGATAGAGTACTACAAAAAGTTAAAATATGGTTAGACTTGAGTTTACTCTCTCTGAATACTGACAAAACCAACTTTTTTAACTTCTCACTTTCCAAGTGTACCCTGCCTGAAATGCAACACCTTAGCGTTCATGATCCACAATGCTAATTGGTCATGCAATGTAAGTGTTACCTACTGGGGATCATATTGGATGAAAATCTGAATTGGAAAGAACATGTTAAAGAGATACCAAGTGTTATAAAGAAAGTGGCTTACTAACCATAGACCAAATGTATATTAAAACTGTGGTAAGGTTCATGTGTAAGAATTCCTATTACAAAGAGAACATAAAGCAGGGTCTAAATACTAGGAGTAGTGCACAAGGGAAAGTTTAGCTGCAAAATCCAAAACATACAGCCTGTCAGAACCATATACTGTGTTGGCCCGAAGGTATATAATGATTTGCCTAGTAGTATAAGGGAAAAAAGTATCAAAGGGCTTGGGGGGAAATAAATAAATGGATAGTGGGTATACAATTAACAAAAAAAAACATACTTATTGGGAATGATGTCGAAAGGCTTTATCTTCATAATTTCATTGCATTTGTAGAAAAATTACAGTTCACAAGACTTTGAGAAAATGGCTATTCACACATAAAAGTGTAATTCGTATTGGATTCTATTTTTTCTTATTTTTCATAAATGTGGTAACTATACTGAATCCCGTTTTCTTCCTGTATTTCTTCTGGAACTTCTGGGTCACTATAAATTGTTATTAGTTGAAACTTCACAAGTTTTCATCGTAAACTGTTCAAAACTTACCTAACTTTTTTCAAATTCTCTGGCAAAGCTGGCAAAAAGGTATCACAATCGACTTGCTTATGAATTTTGGTTAAATAAAGCCTGCTAAAATAGGGTGAACTCATTGCATCCTAAAATGAACAAATTATTAATTCAATTTTCCGTATTATTTCAAGGCTTCATACTTCATATAAGCTTGCTCCTCCTATAACCCAAACACCTTCAAACAAACGTTGAAATTCTTTATTTTCAAGCTTCTCTACTACTTGTTTCATAGTTTTAAATGAGAAAGTGTCTTGATATTGGTCCAATTTTAAATCTGATCGGCTTAAAACAAAATTTATTCTATTGGACAAGGGTTTGAATTTTGCCGGGATACTGTCCCATGTTTTTCTGCCCATTATTACTACATTTTTCCGGTTGGAGTCTTCGGTGGTGGTAGTCATTTTAGTGAAATATGCCATTTCCTTTCTAGGAATAATTATTAGAGAATTGAAGTGAAATTATTAGAAGGGTGTAACAGAGAGCAGGCACAAGAACATAACGAAAGTATCTGAAGTACAAGTATGAGGTAAATATATTTGATAGATTTACTTAAGTAGGTAGGTATAGGTTTTTTTAAATTATACTTTGACTATCAAGTAAACTTGAAATTCACTTGAACAAGTAATTTACTCAAAGTAAAAACCTTCAGCTCCAAGTAAAGTGGCATTAATTACTTGAAGTATGTACAATACTTGAATTAATTTATTTGTTACTTCAAATATCTAAAATCTCTTCAAAACAAGACAATTCTTAGTATTTCTTTTACAATTTTCACAATAATAATACGATCCCCATTCTATTTCAATATCTTATCCGAGCTTTATGTTATTTATTTTTAATTTTTCAACTTCAAAAATAAAGTAATAATAGTACTTTAAGTACTTAAGGGCCGAATTTATAGTTGTTCCTTGGAAGTTGTGGGTTTAGAATGGACACTTGCTATTATTTGACTAGTTAGTCATGTCAATTCTAAACGTTCAAGGCTTGTTTAGGGTCTGAGGTTTCCTCAAGGAAGGACTATAAATTCGGCCTTGAAGCGACTGTACTTGAAGTAAGGTTTCCAGAAATTTACTTTAACTATTGACAACTCTGCATGCAAGAACTCAAAATACTTGACATAATCAAGTAAAAACCCAAGTATTTTAAAACAGATATTGGAAGTAGGTACCAAGTGTTAAGTTATAAAGTACCACCACCTGTAACTTTTTTAGGTATGATCAAAAATAAAAAAGTTATACAAGTGGTGGTACTTTATAACTCGACACCCTGTAAAAGTACATAACAAAAAAAGTAATTCAATTAAAATACCAATATGTAGGTACTTGAAGTAAAATTTCAATTAATTTACTTCAAGTACATATTGACAGCTCTGGAGTGTAATAAATAATGAATGACAATTAGGAAACAAAATATCCTAAAATGAAATTAACAGAAGGAAGGGTGTAATGACGTCATATTGAAAATTATCAAGGTTATCAATTAAATAGGTATGTAGGATTTGATTTTATAGATTTCCAATCAATTATTAAAATTTTGTACCTTAATCTCCAAGGCAAATCACCATTTTTACCAATGCCCATATTCTCACTGGCGGCTACAATTAAATTCAATTTGATTTTGATACCCATTTTAAATTAAAATTAAATACAAAATGCTTTTATTTTATGCTTATCTAGAAATTACAAGGTTAAAATGATGCGAAATCTCAAGTAATAAAGGAAAGGAAAGCAGAGCAAAGGCAGATTTTATTTTATTGACCATGGACCTTGGAGGACCCCAAACTACCATAAGACCAGAGGCGTCCCATAAGGGATTCCTATCAAAATTCAGTTGATGGAAAAAGAAAAATACTCCCAGAATTAGCGGCCGTTTAAAAACCAACGGTTTTGGAGTTAAAAAAAATAATCAAAAACCCGCAAAGCACTCGAACAGAACCGAACACAAAAGTATAGCGCTTTCGACTGGTACATTATGCCCACTGAGTGTTGAGATGGGTTGGGAAGGTGGGGTAACTTTATGGCGTCATCCGGGGTGCCGCAATATAATGCAAGCAAATCTCCATAAGGCACCCGATGTGTCATCAAGTTACAAGTTACTCATTACCAGACAACCATGTTGGGAATACATTTTTGGACTAGTTCTACCAAAAGAAAACGTTATTAGACTATCTTTTGAACTACTTGTACTGAATAATACAAAAAGAAAACGCTATCATTAAGATCCCGATACGATATTTTTCACCTTGCGTTCGGTATTTTGCTCAAAGAGCAGAGCGTGCTGAGTGCTGAGCGAAGCCGTAATCACGTGACCAGCGAGCGAACAGAGCAGTCAAACGCTGTATCAGAGTGCCAGAAATTTTAAAAAACGAACGCGAATAAGCCTGCACCGAGTACACTTTTTAAATCAACGAACGGTAAATTCAAGCTCGGAGAACTCAGATCAGAATAAATACCAAACGCACGGTCAAACTCTGGCTGTTCATTTGTACTTGCTCTACCTGCTCGAAAAATCAGAAATATCTGCTAGGAGCTGTTATTAAATAGTTCTTATTCCTTTCACACCTAGGAGGAGCCCCGGAACAGCTCCGGGGCATTACGCGCTTATTCCTTTCGAAAAATGTTTGTTGCACACGCATCTATTCCTCTCAAATCGGGGGCGACTAATACCGGAGCGATAGCTCGAGTGTTTTGAACTCCTAAAAGCAATACAACTATTTATGAGCATATGTATGTGACAAGTGAACGCGAAATCTGCTGCTGAGATCTGCTCGAAGCTGTTTTCAACCATTGATATTGGCTCTGACTGGTTTGTGATTTCTGCAGAAACAGACCTATTATTTCCAATGATTATTTCTCGATATTATTAGAAAAATATCGATATAAGTATTTTTGTCTAAATATCGTTATTTCACTTTCATATCGATAAACACTATCGTGCGTATCGATTTTACTGTTGATGATGTTGTCATTGTCAATTGTCATTCTGTAATATGTATGTAATAGAAAAATGATTTCCAGGGAGTGTTGTGTGTTAACATTACATTTTAATTGTTTAAAATTTTAAATAAAAATTGTTCAATTAGCAATTCAGCAGAGTGTCTGCCGGTTCGGATTCCTTCAAGATATATAATAAGGTAAACTTACATTTATGTAGTTTAGTAGATAGGATTCCTATTGAGGCGTTTGCAAATTAGAAAATGTATGTACATAATATAAGTAGGTATCCCCATGCTCTAAAAATCTATATTTACTACCATGTAATTGAGTTTGGCTTTCAATTTTAGGATTTTGATGCTCCAAATTGGCCATTCTAATGTCTATGCCGTATCAGGAGTTGTATGATTTTTGTCAAGATCCTATAGTTGTAAAAATCGCTTTCGATTTGACCACGCAAACACTTACTTATTTCGTTGTTTTACTGTTTAAAGTTTAAATTATTAGATTCCCTACAAATACTACACGGTATTTATAGTTAGTCTGTATTATTGGCTGCTGTGTCTACATTTCACCTACCATGGATTATGAAAACCACTCAAAATCAGTTACTATTGCCTGTGAAATGTTTAATATGTAGGTCTATAAACCTAGCAGTCCCAAGGTGGAAAAAAACTTCGGGAACTATATAATAAGTAGGTGCTTTTTAGGTGCTAATTAGGGCCTCTAATTAAAAATTAGGTGCTCCTTGAGTTTTTGAGAAAATCAAAAGAAACTAAGGGACTGCTAGGTTTATAAAAGCTAGCAGTCCCCTATAGTAAAAAAAAAAATTCAATTTTTTTTCTTTGTATCAGAATTAGGTGCTTTTTAGGTGCTCCTAAATAGTCCAAGAAAAAATAGAATTGATTAATTATTAACTGAGTTACAGTTCTTTTTTTAATTATTAGGGGACTGCTGGCTTTACGTTTACATGTTGGTGTGTCAGGTGCTTTTTAGGTGCTAATTAGGGCCTCTAATTAAAAATTAGGTGCTCCTCTAGTTTTTGAGAAAATCAAAAAAAACTAAGGGACTGCTAGGATTATGAAAGTAAGAAGGCCCCTATAGTGAAAAATATTTTTTCAATTTTTTTTTTTGTATCAGTATTAGGTGCTTGTTAGGTGCTCCTAAATAGTCGAAGAAAAAATAGAATTGATTAATTATTAACTGAGTTACAGATTTTTTTAAAATTATTAGGGGACTGCTGGCTTTATGTATACATGTTGGTGTGTCAGAATGGAAAAAAAACTTCGCGATCTATGTAATTATTAGGTGCTTATTAGGGCCTCTAATTAAAAATTAGGTGCTCCTCTAGTTTTTGAGAAAATCAAAAAAAACTAAGGGACTGCTAGGTAGTAAATATTAAGGTTTTTTTAACGAGTAACTGTTTGTAACCGTGTTATATACGGTAACTGAAATTAGGCCTTTTCGGAAACGCTTATGATCACCAGCTGTTTGTTTTTTGTCTTTATTTAATGAACACGATTGAAAAAAGACATAGTAAATCAGCTGGTGATCCGGTTAATAAGATCAGCGTTTCCAAAAAGGCATAATTTCAGTTACCGTTTACAAACGGTTAGACGCTAAAAAATCCTTATTAAATCAAAATTCAACTAATTGAATTTATCTACGCTACCGACAAATGGGATAAATTAAATTTATCTACCATACCTTTATATTTGTCTTTCTTTTGTCCCTAAAAAGGATGGAGATATACTTGCTTGCTACACCAGATTAATTATATGAAAATGCTATTTGATTTCATCTTCCTGGGAATCCCTCTAATCCTCGTTTTTCGTTTTAATTATTTATTAATAAAAAGTAAGGATATCTGGTAGGAAGAAAGACGATATAATTTTGTGTTTAGGGTGTTGTTGTATGATAAATAAAACCTAAAATAGATCTAAATAGAGCGTGTTTTATTTAAATCGAAAAAATCTGATTTAAATCAAAAAAATCCGATTTAAATCAAAAAAATCTGCAACCCTGATTGGATCATTTAGAAAGATTTTATGATAACTCCAAATTTGTTATTCCAAATTTCTGCTTTCTGTAGGTCATTGCAACAAGATCAGAGTGGTCTGAAAATGAATTTTTGGGTTTTTACAATTTTCCGCGGGACAATTAAGCAGAATGACTGCACTGGATTTTTTTTTGGTTAGTTTCTTTTTGAATTATGTGAACCAAGCAATAAGTTTTTGATATTTTTCAAATTACCAGGAAACAGGCCAAAAAATTGATATTTATTAAAAATCCCAAGAAACCGAATATCTCCAATCAATCAAATACAAATGGAAGACACTACCATATCTACTAAAAATACTGTGAAATATCTCGGCATATATCTGGACAGAAAACTAAACTGGAAGGATCATACCCAATCTCTTATTAAAAAAACTGAGAATGGTCTAAACGTTCTCAGAGCTTTTAGTCATCACAAATGGGGTGCAGACCCTAATATTTCCTTGCTTTTCTACAAAGCTTTTATCAGATCTATACTGGACTATGGATGCACATTCTATGGCTCAGCGTCAAACACACATTTAAATAAACTGGACCAAATAAAGAATAAAGCTCTTCGGAAATGCCTTGGACTTTTAAATAGTACCCCTATAAACGTACTTGAGGCTGAAGCTGCTGAACCACCCTTGTCACTGAGGAGAAATTTTTTATCCGATAAATTTTTACTTAAGTTAATATCTAAAGAAAGTATATTAATAAACAAAATTAACAACTTAACAATATTAGGCTATACTCACCCATACTGGCGAGTCAAAAAACTCCCGCTTTTAACCTTAAGTTACTCTTCGATAACCCAAATCAAAGATAAAATATACCACTCTTCCACCCAACCTTATTATCAACTTAGTTGGAGTAGTTTGACAAATATTGCTTTATCACCCATAGTGCGTATTAATGAACAAAATACAAATGATCCAAATATATTGAAAAAAAAATTTCTTGAAGATCTTGGAACCACTTGGTCCAAATTTGAACATATATTCACAGATGGATCAATTCTAAACAACAGAACTGGGTGTGCTTTTTATCATTCAAATACGAAAAAATCAAAAGAAATAAGATTAGCAAATGAAACCTCGATTTACACAGCTGAACTATGGGCTATCCGAGAGGCACTTAACTATTGCTTAGAGTATAAGGAAAATAATAATTTTATAATATTTTCTGACTGCAAGAGCGCTCTTGAAACTATATCAAATTACGAAAATGCTGCAGTTGCCAATAATTATGTCGTAACTGAAATCTTGGAACTACATCACATATTGAAGTCGAATAATAGGTGTATTTATCTGATGTGGGTGAAAGCTCACGTAGGAATTGAATCAAATGAAATAGTTGATAAACTTGCAAAAAAAGCAACTAAAAAGCAACAAATAATTAATGGTTTCAGGATTCCTTTTACTGATATGATAAGAAACGCAAAAGAAAAAATGTACCATAATTGGCAAGTGCAGTATAGCGAAACAAACAAGGGGTTATTCTATAGAGAAATATTTCCTGTTATTCCTAAAGAGCGTTGGTTTAGTTCTATATCGAACAGAAACTTTGTAAGGGTTATTTCCCGAATAAGAACTTCACATGCATTGTACCCAAAACATAAAAAAAGAATTGGTATAAGCGAGAATGAATATTGTGACTGTGGCGAAATAGGCGATTTAGAGCACTGTATTTTGGATTGCTCTTATTTAAAAAACCACTTAAACTTACTGATTGATAATCTTGTAGAATTCATAGATCTCCCATTTAATTTAAAATATCTCATTTCATTGAATAATATCACAGTATATAGAGCAGTATATAATTTTATTATAAACAGAAAGATAGAATTGTGACAGAACCATTGTATAAATATGTATAGCTTATAGAAGGAAAAAAAAAAAATAAAATAAAAAAAAATAAAAATAAAAAAAAAAAAAAAAAATGGAAAAAAAAATAGTATCTATGTAATATTAATTAAAAAAAATATATATATATACATAAAAATTACATGCATTGAAACAAATGTAAATTATAAAATTGTAAAGCACCCTAATACTAATATAAAAATGACTCCAAGAGAGTATATAAGGACAAGCTGGCCATTTGTTTTTAACAGTGCCATACAAAAAAAAAAAAAAAAAAAATTAAAAATCCTTGTACCTTTTTAAAAATTCACACATAGCCGTAAAATCGAATCCTGAACCACTTTTCTCTCTACAATTTTTCGATTTCTGGTCATCTAACCCCACTTTTCACATATTTGAGGAGAACTTTTTAAATTTCCCACCATAACTGTGGTCACATGACATTTGTCACAGTGCTTTTTTTTGTTGATGGGATGGGATATTTTTTCAAAATTTGCTTTTGTATCAGAATTAGGTGCTTGTTAGGTGCTCCTAAATAGTCAAAGAAAAAATAGAATTGATTAATTATCAACTAAGTTACAGATTTTTTTTAATTATTAGGGGACTGCTGGCTTTACATATACATGTTGGTGTGTCAGAATGGAAAAAAAACTTCAGGATCTATGTAATAATTAGGTGCTAATTAGGGCCTCTAATTAAAAATTAGGTGCTCCTCTAGTTTTTGAGGAAATCCAAAAAAAAACTAAGGGATTGCTAGGTTTATGAAAGCTAGTAGTCCCCTATGGTAAAAAATATTTGTCCAAAATTTTCTTTTGTATCAGAATTAGATGCTTTTTAGGTGCTCCTAAAAAGTCGGAGACAAAATAGAATTGATTAATTATTAACTGAGTTACAGATTTTTTTAAAATTATTAGGGGACTGCTGGCTTTACATATACATGTTGGTGTGTCAGAATGGAAAAAAAAAATTCGGGATCTATATAATAATTAGGTGCTTTTTAGGTGCTAATTAGGGCCTCTAATTAAAAATTAGGTGCTCCTCTAGTTTTTGAGATAATCAAAAAACTAAGTGATTGCTAGGTTTATGAAAGCTAGTAGTCCCCTATAGTAAAAAATATTTTTCCAAAATTTTCTTTTGTATTAGAATCAGGTGCTTTTTAGGTGCTCCTAAATAGTCGAAGAAAAAATAGAGTTGATCAATTATTAACTGAGTTACAGATTTTTTTTTAATTATAAGAGGACTACTCGCTTTACGTTTACATGTTGGTGTGTCAGAATCGAAAAAAACTTCGGGATCTA